GGGGGGGGGGGGGGAGGTAGGGACAGGAGAGACAACGTTTTAGGAGCAGTTGAATTTTGATATGTGGTGGTTAACAGTCCTTTGCTGTGACAGAATCCCCTGGCACAGTGGTCTGGTTTAGCCATTAATCAACCTCAGTTGGGCTTCTTTGTTTAGAAACAAAACAAAAATTCACAGGTTTTCCTAATATCTACAACCTGTTATTTCTTTTTAAAATTGTGCCTACAAAACTAGAAGTCATGCCCATTAAAGCTAGGAAATCACTAGTTCAGCTCTATTAAAGTTGAAGTGAATTATTCTGCCAGTTTTTAGCAGTATCAGAGAACTCGAGACTCTATACCCCTGGGAACTCTGTGACCTTTGTCTAAATCTGGGTTCCTGCTCTTTCTACCCATCCATCTGTGGGATGGCTTTAGTACCACCCTAAAAGTTCCTATCATTTCAGCACAAGTTATCCAATGACTGTAGATGAGAGTTACTTCTTATTAATAACTCACAAGCGTAGTATCAAGGTAGAAGCTTGGTGATGTTTTTTGGTGGCTTTAAGTGTCCGTAGAGAGACCCAGAGTCCTCTGGGTTCAGTGACCTGATGAACCTGGTAGGCACTCTTTTCTTTCTCACTTTATAAGGTTTTATCTCACCAAACAACACCTCTCCCATCTCTAAACATTTTCAGTGAGGCTAGAAGTTTACAGAGGAGATGATTAGATTCTCTAATTATTTGAAAGGCACACACATCCAAATAATTGTGGAGCTGTGTGGTAAATTTTAGCTATATCATCTTATAAGGGTGTATTTGCCTAAAACCTTGTCTTGTGCAGTTCCAAAGGTCCAAGTTTCGTTTTTTTCCCCCAAATATGAAATAAACCAGCTCTTGTAGTATCTGTCAGGGGCTCCCCAACTCCTATGAGCACTGGTGCAGGAATGGCATGGAGTGCTTCTTGCTGAGGGGACATTGCTGATAGCTGCATCTGCATTTATGTGTACTCAATAAGGAGCAGATTAAGGAAAAACTTGCTACCTAGTGGAAATCCTTGCAAGAGGTATAGAGGAGGCCCAAGGATAGAAGTCATCATCCATAGATTGGTGTTGGGCAGAAACCAACTGTTGTCATAACTCCAATTTGCTTAATCTGTTTTTTTTTTTTTTTTGAGATAGGGTCTCACTATGTTTCCCAGACTGATCTTGAACTCTTGAGCCCAAATTATCCTCTTGATTCAGTCTCCCAAGTAGCTGGGACCCACTGGATTGTCTGATATGAGCTTCTTCATATCACATGTTTATTTTCTTATTTTAATCAACACATAAAACTTGTACATGTTTATGGAGTATGTATACATAGTATGAAATGTTCAAATTGGGGTTTGCATATTGAGTTCCTCAACCTTTATCACTTCTTTGTGGTGAAAACATTTAAATCCTTTCTTCTAGCTTTTAAAAAAATGTTGTACATTATCGTTACATGTAGTCACCCTACTTCACAATAGAACACCAGAACTTAGTTTTTCTTTCTAACTGTAACTGGCCTCCAGCTGACTGACGTTTTTTCATCCCTCCCTTCCCGACTCTTTCCAGCCCCTGGGAACTACTATTCTTTTTTTTAATATACATTTTTTTAGGTGTAGATGGACACAACACAATGCCTTTATTTTTATGTGGTGCTGAGGATCCAACCTGGGTCCCACCCGTGCTAGGCGAGCACTCTACCGCTGAGCCACAATCTCAGCCCCCCTGGGAACTATTATTCTACTCTCAACTTCTATGAAATCAACTTTTTAAGATTTTACATAGGAACGAGATCATGTGGTATCACATGTTTATTTTAGCAAGTGTCCTGGGGAAAGTCCTATAGAGATAGGGCACCCACTGCACATTGTTCTTAGATCCCACGTTGGGTGGATGGTCTACATGAAGCTATGAGAATGGGTGGGGGAAATGTGCATAAACTGGCCCCTCTTTCTGAAAACCTCCCACTTTATGATACCATGAAGAAGAATCATTACCCCTTGTATACTCCTTGCATAGATAATTAAGCCTATGTTTGAAATAATTGGTTATTTTATTTTAGCCTTTCTAGTGTGTAATATTGATCTCTGGATCACACTATTAACTTTACTGTTATATAGTTTATTTCAAAAGTGTGAATTTTATGCATGATGATCAGCTTTGCCATATTGGGTATATGTATGTTTCATACACATTGCAGGCTGTATGTTTTACATTAATTGTTTGAGCTAACTGCATTCAATCTTTAAAACTCTTCTTAAAACAGGGAAACTAATTAAGGTGTATGGCTGGATTATCACTGGGAAGTTGGAGACCTTTGATTTTGATGCTGAGTACATCGATAGGTATGCATATTCTGTGTTCAACCCGTTACATAAATGCTGGATGACTTCCTGAGGCCGGCTTCCCCAATAGCAATAAATTTTAAGCAATTGGCACAGAATTGCTATTTTTCTCTTTACAGTTTATGGACCCTGGTGGTGTGGGCTTCAGCTTTGACTTTGTTCATGTAATTGTGACTGGTCGATTAAGTTGGTCCATTTATTTACTGACAACTATCACTTTAGGCTCAGTGCGAATTGTACTGTAGTTACATCCATGGATTTTTTTTTTTTACTCTTTCTCTTTATCCCCTTATTTCTCAGGATAAAATAAAATCTGTAAAAATAATATGTAAACCCAAAAGCACATTAAAAATTTCTGGCTTAGTTTTCCCATTTGTGCATTTAGAAATGCTATTTATAGTGGGATCAGAAGAAAAAATGCACAACGGGTATGAAATGCCATTGAACTTGTAATATTCTCTGGAAATGATTAGGATGTCCACACCAGTTTTTTTTTTTTATTGGACAATCATTAAGTGGAAATGTTACTATTGAGTCATTCATGCTAGGAAAAGACCTGAACAAGATAGAGAGTGTTGAAACTGGGGAGCTTGTGGGAAGCACTAAGCAACTCTCATCATTCAACAGATGAAACAATCCCAGTGAGGATTTAAAAAGTAGACAAACCATATACTCACACTGTTCCCCACCTGCACAGGGCCTGGGTCTAATTAGTCCTTCACCCTGGATGGATCGGAGGCATTCTCCTCTGTTCTCTGTCTCTTTGATTCTGTCCAGCATTCCTGGCATTGAATAATGGTCAGCTTGTCTTATAAGGCTATTTCTCTTCCTGTAAAAAATAGATATTCCAAGGACATTCTTGACAGTATGCCATATTTGCTACTTGGATCCATCTCAGCTTTGTTCTGGGATCCAGTCTTTAAGAGCTGGATAGCTCTGTAGACCCAGTATGGCCAATGTGGAGATAATAGAGGTATGTTTTGGGAGAAAGGACAAATGCTCCCTCTGCAGTCTGAAGGCTTGGGCCATGAGGGCATCCCTAGTTTCTGGCCAAGAATTTGACTAAACATCCATTTAAGACACAGCCCTCAGGCCTCAGCCATATGAACATTTCTGAAGGAAAATGTTCATAACTGTGTGTCCTCCAAGCTTTGACAGGAATGTTTGCTGGGAGCATCACACTACTGTCTCTTGACTTTTTTTTTTTTTTTTTTCTTATCCAGCCCGTTGATCTTGGAAGCTCAAGGAGACAGTTGGGTCACTCCTTGCTCTCTGATAAACAGGCAGACAGGAAGCCAGTGAGTGTTTTTCTTTTCTTGATAATGTGTATGTTTTTAGGTTCTTCCTCATGAATATAGCACACACCTTTTAAAAATATAAATCACTCATGAGTGTTAACTGACTTTTTATGTAGACTTATGTGAAAGGACACAGGAATTGATTCGAAATGTAAATTGAAGTGGAATCTAAAACTTTGTAAAACTTTCCATGAAAACAAATCACTAATACTTACTAAGAACTTACTCTAGGTCAAGGCTTGCTCTAATGCTTTTACGTTTAAGTCTCTCGATGATCTTGTGAATATGTATGGCCAGTAGTCTGACTCTATAGGTGAGAATGCTGAGGCACAGGGAGGTTAAGTAATTGGCTCAAGTCTTTCAGAGCAAGTGGCAGAGCTATGACCAGAGACCTGTCTGACTAATTGGCCTCCAGGGTTCATGTTCTTAGCCACTATACTGTCATAACTAACCCAAAGAAAAAAAACAAAAAACAACTTTTTAAAAATGAGTATCTATGTGCTTCAGCTTGTGTAACCATCTTGCTAGATTTTTTACTTTGCCCTGAACTGGGTGGGTTTTCTTCGAGGCTCTGGCAAGAATTACATTTCATGGCTTTGCTTTTGGGGACTAGTGTTTAGTAGAGCAAGTTTTATAACTTTTTACAATGTAGTTTCTTCCTAGAGTCTTCATTTACACAGGATCGCCCTTTTTGGGGTTCATACTTTTTTTTTCATAAGAGTTTTGCTATAGATTTTAGAAGATACCAAATGGAAGCTAGGAATAAGTTAAATTTTGTCTCTCATGCCCTGTTTGACTTAGCTTTTTTTTTTTCATTCATAACTTGTTAGTAAGAACTTGCCCAAAGAGCTTGTGATAACTTTAGTACCATCAATTTTCTGTGGCCAATTTGCCTTTTATTTATTACTTTGCTGGTTAAAGAGTCAGAACTTGTGAGCTGAGTCATCTGACATTCTCACCTGTTTGTCTTTTCCTTAGCTATCCTTCTCAGGAAGACCGTGGTCTTGGTACTCTGCAGTGCCGTGTGGAAGGCGATTACATTGGTCTGTTAGAGAAGTGACATAATTTTAAAGTCTTACCCATTTCATTCTCTGTATGCAGAAACAACATTTCAACAATTGGTTCTCATGAAAATAATAACTATCATGTGCTGAGAACCCCCTAAAACATACCACACAAAGCAGCTTATTTATAAACTAACTTGATCCCCACAAAGAGCCTGTGAAGTTGTTGGAATTATTTCCACTTTACAGGTGAGAAAATTAAAGCTGGTAACCAGTGGATCAGGATTGAAGTCACACTCAGTCTAAGTCCAGGCTGAGCTCTTAGCTGCTCTGCACTATTCTATTTGTCCTTTTGTCTTTGGAAATCTACATTGCTGATGGTGCTGCCTAAGATATTTATTTTGTGCACCACCAAAAAAAAAAAAATAAATAACAGGTTTGGGTGGTAATTTGATGACTTCGGAGTCTTTGGGTTTATGGTAGCAACAGCCCAGGAGATTCATGCAGATCCCTGTACTAATGTCTGTTCCTTTGTGTTTCAGGCTCCCAGAATGTTAGTTTCTCAGTGTTTAACAAAGGAAAGTAAGTAACCGGGAGTAGGCAAGTTTGTCGTCATCTTATACTGCCTGATTCTCTCATCTTCCTTTCTTTTTTTTTAACCTTTTATAATGGAAAATTTCAACCATACATAAACAGAACAGTATAATGAAATAGCATAATGATTTCTTTGACTTGGATGAGCATAATTGCATCCTATGCCTAATCTAGAGGCATTGTACCTATTTCAATGTCGTGGTGGTATAGAGTTTTGGGAATTACCTCTTAGGTAATCCCTAAATTTTGTAGATCTAAACTTGTCCCACATGCCTTATGTGGGATACAGTTTCATGAAATGCTTTGTGCATTTCCTTTCCTTCTTCAAGAAGGAAAGAGTCCAAATACCATCAGCTTTGGAGAGAGAAATTATGATTCTGGATTTCTGTAGGTCTTACTTCATGTTTTGATGCCATATGATTTGCTAGGTACTCCTTTAAAAGTATATCATCTAGATAATATTAAATTAATTGTGATGATAGTGACATGTTACCTATAGATACACAGCCCCAAGTATGAAATTTTTTTCTTCTTTTTCTCTCACTTTGTCCCAAGAACACATCTAGAGTCTCTCTGATATCTACCATAGGCCAGCACAGTACTGGGCCCCTTCACATTTGTCATTTAATGCTTGTGACACTTTTTGAAGGAGTTCTTATTCTCATACACTAATTTTATAGATTAGAAAACAAAATTGACCCGTATTGTTCTTGTGTGTTTAAAGGGAACTGATATCCAAAATGTTCTTGCGGTCTTGGAGTTTGTCCATAGTCTTCCTAAGGCAGCCAATTGAATAAGTATAATCTCAGATGATGTTTTATTAAAAAAAAACAGAATTTCTTTTTTTTTTTCTTTTGCAGGTCAGTGGTACACAAAAGTGCCTGGCTGATCAGTGCTAAACAGGAGCTCTTCCTATACCAGACACACTCAGGTACTGTGTCCCTGCATCTTGTAAGCCTCATCCCTTCCTTGATACCTCTTTCTTCTGGCAATTTCTCTGTGACCATTAATACCTGAAGCTGTCCCTGTTATCACGGATAGTTCTTTGGTTTTGTTTGAGATTTGCTTCTATCAATGTCAGCTTTAGTTTCTGCAGTCATGCATTGCTATAGAAATGCCTCACTAGGCAATTCATGTTTGTATGAACCACATACAAACCGAATGCACCACAGGGATAGATCACTCACTCAGGGTGGCTTCTTGAACTAATCAAGAGATGAGCTGAGTGTGAGTTGTAGGAGGCTGCTGCCAGTGTAGCCAAGCAGGCTGTTTTACATAATTTTTTTTGTTTTATAAGTAGAAGTACATTCTAAAATAACAATGAAAAGTATGGCATAGTAAATACACAAACTAGTAAAGCCACCATTTATTATCATTATTATTATCATATATCACTTATTATTATTATCATTCATTATTGTTATTATCCAGTGTGGCCCATAATTGTATGTGCCATATTTTAGAGGACTGGCAGTGCAGTAGGTTCATTTACATCTGCATCACTGCAAACATATGAGTCATGTATTGTGTGCTATATTCCTACAAGAGCTGCCACATCACTAGATGATAAGACCTTGTCAGCTCCATTATAATTTTATGGGGCCACTTTCACAGATGTGATCTGTTGTTGATCAATATTGTTATGTGGCTTGTGATGCACATTAAAAAAGGCTGTATCATAAACTTCTATACAAAATCGATAGATTCAAGTTGAATGAAAAAAAGGAAAGTCATGACTTGTTCTATGTCTGAAAAATTACAGAAAAGAGATAGCATTTAAACATCTAAGAGCATATTCTTCCAGTTACTCTGATAGCCCATCTCTGAGTGTTCACTGAATAACTTATAATTTGCTGAAATTGATGCTAAGCTATTGCATTCCATCCATGAGTAAACCCTCACACTAGAAAATGAATGTTGAAAATTAGAAATTTGCATAAAATTGCGAACTCAGATAAGTAGTACAAAGTCAGTTGCTAAAGAAGAATACCTAGATTCTAGGATTTGATACAATCACAAAGTCATTGCAGGTATGTCTAAGTGAGTTCATATTCCAGGAAGCAATCAATATCTACAGTTGCAAGCTGGGCTTGGTGGCCCATGCCTGTAGTCCTACCACTTGGTAGACTTAGGCAGGAGAATCCTTTGAGTCCAGGAGTTTGAGACTAGCCTGGGCAACATAGTGAGACCCTGTCTCAACAACAATACAAAACCTCAAATTTGTATTTGCCAAAAGTGCAAGATATTTCACAGGTCATAGGAAAAATGCCATTCACTTTAATTTAATATTTAAAATGTTTGCACATTAGTTACAGAGAATAGTGGGTTTCATTGCAGCATATTTGTATATTCATATAACATAATGCATCAATTTCACTCCTCCTCTTGCCCTTCTCTCCTCTCTGCCCCTGATATCTTTCTTCTACCCTAATGGTCTCTCCTCTACTTGCTGAATTTTAACCTTGCTTTTCTTTTTCTTTTAACAACACGATTAGCATGTTTGAGGGTGAATTTGAAGAAGCACCCAAGGTGATATTTACAGTGACAACATAAACAAGAATGTCAGTCCCTTGCTGAGGGTTTTACATACAACCTCAATATCTATTTTATTAACTAAATTCATTAACTATGAGATGGGTAGCATTAATTACATTTTTCAGATGAGAATACAGATGGAAAGAGTCAAAGTAATTTATCAGAAAGTTCAAGTGCTAAAAAATGCAGATAATTCCAAATCTTTTTTTATTTGTTCTTTTTAATTATATATGGCAGTAGAATGCATTTTGGCATATCATACATACATGGAGTGTAACTTCCCATTCTTGTGGTTGTATTTGATGTGGAGTTACACTGGTTCATATTTATATATTTATATATGAACATAAAAAAGTTATGTCTGATTCATTCTACTGTCTTTCCCATTCCTACCCCCATCATCCAATCTGGTGAACTTCCATTCCCCCTTCCCCATATGTTGTGAATCAGCATCTGCATATCAGAGAGAATATTCAGATTTTGGTTTTGGGGTATTAGCTTTTTTACTTAGCATGATAGTCTACAGCTCCATCCATTTACCAACAAATGCCATTATTTCATTCTTCTTTATGGGCCGAGTAATATTCCGTTGTATATATGTACCACATTTATTTATTAACTCAAACTTTGAAGAGCACCTAGGTTGGGTCCATTGCTTAGCTATTGTGAAATGAGCTGCTATAAACATTGATATGGCTAGGTTACTGTAGTATGATGATTTTAAAACCTTTGGGTGTAAATTGAGGAGTGGGATAACTGGATAAAATGGTGGTTCCAATCCAAGTTTTATGAGGAATCTCTATACTGCTTTCCAGAATGATTGCACCAATTTGCAGTCCCACCAGCAATGTATGAGTGTAATTTATTCCCCACATCCTCGCCAACATTTATTTTTATCTGTTTTCTTGATAATTACCATTCTGACTAAAGTGAGATGAAATCTCAGTGTAGTTTTAATTTGAATTTCTCTAATTGCTAGTGATGTTGAACATTTTTTTCATATATTTGTTGACCATTCATATTTCTTCTTCTGTGAAGTACCTGTTCAGTTCCTTTGCCCATTTATAGATTGGGTTATTTTGGGTTTTTGGTGTTAAGTTTTTCTTTATATATTCTGGAGATTAATGCTCTATCTGAGGTACAGGTGGCAAAGATTTTCTCCCATTCTGTAGGCTCTCTGTTCACATTCTTGATTGTTTCCTTTGCTGTGAAGAAGCTTTTTAGTTTGATAGGATCCCATTTACCGATTCTTGTTTTTACTTCTTGCTCTTTAGGAGTCTTGTTGAAGAATTTAGGTCCTAAGCTGACATAATAAAGATTTGAGCCTACTTTTTTTTTCTTCTAGTAGGCACTGGGTCTCTTATCTAATGCCTAAGTTCTTGACTCACTTTGAGTGGAGTTTTGTGCAGGGTGAGAGATAGGGTCTAATTTCATTTTATCACATATAGATTTTCAGTTTTCCTAGCATCATTTGTTGAAGCTATCTTTTCTCCAATGTATGTTTATGATGTCTTTGTCAAGTATGAGATAATTGTATTTGCATGGGTTTGTCTGTTTGTCTTCTGTTCTGTGCCATTGGTCTTCATGTCTGTTTTGGTGCCAATACAATGCTGTTTTTGTTACTATAGCTCTGTAATATAATGTAACATCTGGAATTGTGATGCTTCCTGCTTTACTCCTTGCTGAGGATTGCTTTGGCTATTCTGGCTCTCTTATTTTTCCAAATGAATTTCATGACTGCTCTTTATGTTTCTATGAAGAATGTCATCAGAACCTTAATAAGACTTGCATTAAATCTGTATAGTGCTTTTGGTAGTATGGCTATTTTAACAATATTAATTCTTCCTATTCAAGAACATGGGAAAACTTTCCATTTCTAAGATCTTTTACAGTTGCTTTCTTTAGTGTTCTGTAGTTTTTATTGTAGAGGTCTTTCACCTGTTTTGTTAGATTCATTCTCAAATATTTTATTTTCTTTAAGGTAGACAATTCTAAATGTTATGCACATAATCAACATGTTCTTGGAAGATTGCTCTCCTTGTCACCCAACCCCAATCTTCTCTGTGAATCTGCAATCACTGTGAACCCTGGCACGCTGGATAGATTGGAAGAATGTCTGATAACACAGCTATTTTGGATTTCTAGGGTTAAAATCTCTTGGAATCAGGACACTCAGGCCAGAACTTTTTCATAGCCAAAGAGGTTGGGGGGAGAGCAGAGATGGCCAACCCCACAGAGCCCCAGGATGAGCACATTCAATCACTAGTCTAGCTTATTAAGCCAATAATCTTTCTAAGTCTCAATTAAACACCTATAAAATGAACAATGTGTTTATAACAACCTATAAAATAGTTGTTATTCTAACTCCAAAAATTATCCAAAGAAATTGATGAGCAAGAATCTTGGACTTCATCTAAGATTTCCTTCCCCCTCTCATTTCCATGTCCATTCAATTGCTAATTTCTCCCAGTTTCACTTCCCATGTTTCTTGGTTGTGATATATTCACTTTATCTCCACAACTACTGTCTAAATCTGGCCCCATCATCGCTTGTTACAGACTATGCTGAAATGGTTTCTAAATGGCCCTTGCTCTGACCTTTGTCCCTTGTTGATCTATACTCTACATAAACACACCTACTCTACACTACATTTCTAGCACGTATCTGATGCTTCTTTCTTGCATGCTGTCTATAAGGGGTCTTATCCCCTACAAGAAATGATCCAGGCGTGCGGCCCAGGTTCAATCCTCAGCACCACATACAAACAAAGATGTTGTGTCCGCTGAGAACTAAAAAATAAATATTAAAAAATTCTCTTTCTCTTTCTCTCTCTAAAAAAAAAAAAAAAAGAAAGAAATGATTCAGGCTTCTGTCCATGGCTGATCTGCTTCTCCAGCTCCATTTCTCCATGTATGTTCCAGCAACATTTGGAGACACTGTGCATTTCTTCTCCATATTTAGACTATCATTTGCTTTCAGTGTCCTTTCTCACCTTCACTTGGTCAGTTCTGATTCATCCTTTAAGATTCAGTTCAGATTCATAATGGCACATGCCTTTAATCCCAGAGACTCGGGAGGCTGAGACAGGATGATCCCAAGTTCAGAGCCAGCCTCAGCAACTTAGTGAGACCCTAAACAATTTAGCGAGACCTTGTCTCTAAGTAAAATATTTTCAAAAAGTGTTGGGGATGTGGCTCAGTTGTTAAGTGCCCTTGGGTTAAATTCCCAGTATCCAAAAAAAAAAAAAAAAATTCAGTTCATATGTCATCTCTAGAAATTTTGTACCCTCCCCCCATCCCTAAACTTCTCTGCACTTCATATACTTTCTCTAGTTTTGCTAAGCAAAATGACTATAATTTTACTCTTTGATACCTTCTCTATCCTAACATAGTGACCTCCTGGAAGAGAGAAACTGTGTTATGTTTATCTTTGTATCCTTATGCTATAAATTAGTTGTTCTGTGAATGTTGAAAAGTTCACCAAATATCAACTTTGTTAAAAGTTTAAGAACTTCCTAAGTTGATTTTGTCTGTGGTCTGTGTAATTTTGAATGCATATCAAAAGAATGTGTTAGTGGAGTATGGTGGAGTGCTCCTGTAATCTCAGCTACTTGGGAGGCTGAGGAAGAAGAACCACAAGTTGAAGAGCATTCTGGGCAACTTAGTAAGATCCCATTAAAAAATGAAACAAGCCTGGCATGATGGTGCATGCTTGTAATCCCAGCATCTTGGGAGGCTGAGACCAGATGATTGCAAGTTAAAGTCAGCCTCAGCAACGGCAAGGTACTTAACAACTCAGTGAAACCCTGTCTCTAAATAAAATACAAAAAGAGGGCTCAGGATATGGTTCAGTGGTTGAATGCCCCTGAGTTCAATCCCTGGTACAAAAACAAAACAAAAACATGAAAACAACAAAAACAACAAAAAGATAAAGAAGAAAGAATATGTTAATCTTTTCATGTAGCTAGCCAGAAAATTCCAATACCCAATTCCAATATCCAATATCTTATACTGATAAAATGTGATAAAAAGTGTATAAAAAGGGGGAGGTTATTGTTAGAATATTGGAAATGGAGGGAACATGTAGGAACCATTTGTTCTGCCAGGTGATCTGCTTCTCTGGTCGGTGACATCCAGGATGCAGTACGGTGTCCCCACACACTCACATCACACTTACCCTCCCAGCTCAGCCCAGTGGTTCAGCAGCACATTCGCAGTGAATGGCATTGCATGGTGTGGCTTTCTTTCTGGTGACCACGAATTGCCCTAGGCTCTATGGCTCTGCACTCTTTATTGCCTGGCCTCCTTCAGTTGGATGACAACAGTTGGTATTCTATCCACATCTAGCCGTTTGGCTTAGGGTAGGACCCTGTTCACTTCAGTGTGGTCCTGCCATCATATTAATATATTTCTCTATTTATAGATCTACATGAATATTTATATGTATGAAATATAAAAAAATTCTCCTTAGATATTCCATGTGATATTAGACATGTGTCTCCCAAAATACTTGTTTTGTCTTTTAACAGGATCTTATTAAGTTTCCCAGACCGTTCTTCAATTTGTGATTCTTCTACCTCAGCCTTCCAAGTAGCTGAGATTACAGGTGTACTCCACCATAGCCCGCTAACACATTCATTTTTATATTTGAGTGTTGGAGATCATTTTTTGCCCCGAATACCTCCTCTGCTTTGTCTCATGGGCAAAAGCACTATGAAATACTCTCATTGAATTCATATTTTGAAGTGGCAGCTATTTATGATTAGCCCCCTCCTTCATCTTATCCGAGAACGCAGCTCCACTTTCCCCTAGAGGGAATGAAATTTGAGCAAAGTGTCATAATAGGAGAGGAAAGGATGAGGTGAAGTGGGGATATGTGGCATATTGCTGTAGAGGACCCAAACAACTGGGAACAGCTTGAGGGGGTGAGCACACAGAGGGGAGCCTGCAGCAGGGGCAGCAAGACTGAGTAACTCATTCTTCTGCTTAGAGCACATCACAGATTCACATGGGTGACTCAAATTCTTGCCCAGTGCAACCAAAGTTGACTCCTCCAGATGGTGTAAACTGCTGTTCCTGACTTGTAAATAAAGTCCTTGAAGCTGAGAGACAGATTTCCTAAGAAAGCATCATGGTATATAGAAGATTTTCCTGATATGATGAGTGATTCTGCATATCCCCTCCATTTCCGATATTGATTGGTATAATATATATTTACAGTCTTTCTGGTTATGTGCATTTAAAAAATGATTATTAATAGAAAAAAATTTCAACGGATGCTGGACTTGGAAAGTTAGAATAGAAAATAAATTATGATAACTTCTATTATTATATGATTATCTGGGTCATATCCTGATCTATATTTGGAAGCTTACTTTTTTCTTTTTTTAATTTCTTGCAGAAATCCTATCTGTGTTTCCAGAAACTGGGAGCCATGGGGGAAGAACAGATATCACAATTACGGGAGACTTTTTTGACAATTCTGCCCAGGTTACCATAGCCGGTAACTATGTTGGGATAGCTGAAAATAGTTCACAGTTTCAAATGCTGTAGGAGCTTACATATCTCTTTATGGCCTGGGGGGCTGTGAAGAAAAGCAGTCTTTGCCTTTTCTATCGTTTCATGTCACTAAGGTCTTTTACTGGTGTTTGGTTGTGACCTGGTGGTCATTTGGTCCTGTTGCTTTGCCAATGGGTTACGGGAACAGGATGTCCTACAGACACACTTAAAATGCATGGGCAATTTCCTCAGGTGTCCCCATCTTGGGGGGTGAAGAGAAGAAAAAGATACAGTTGCCTCTTCACAGAGGTCTACTTCTACTAAAAAGCAAGCCCTTTCCTCACTTGCCCTCCTTACCAGGAGTAGGTGGGCACTGGCTCTGCAGACTCCTCTGGAATAGCCTTTGGAAACTCTGTCACGGTACCTGTCTGGAACCATTGGTTCTGCCAGGTGGTCTGCTCTTCTGGTCGGTGATATGTAGGATACAGGACAGTGTCCCCACACATTGACATCACACTTACCCTCCTGGCTTAGCCTAGTGGTTCAGCAGCACATTCCCAGTGAATGGCATTACATGGTGTGGCTTTCCTTCTGGTGACCACAAGCTGCCCTAGGCTCTACGGCTCTGCACTCTTTATTGCCTGGCCTCCTTCAGTTGGATGACAACTGTTGGTATTCTATCCACATCTAGCCCTTTGGCTTAGGTAGGACCCTGTTCACTTCAGTGTGGTCCTACCATCAAATTGGTGTATTTCTCTATCTATAGATCTACATGTGTATTTATCTGTATGAAATATTTAAAAAAAATTCTCCTTAGGCATTCCATGTGATATTAGACACGTGTCTCCCAGGAAGATTGAGTGCACCACCCAGGCTCCAGGAAAGGGGGCAAGGCTCACTGCTCCTCAGGCAGGTAAGAAAGTCTCCAGGCTGTTCAAAGAACTCTCCAGTTAAGTGCTTAGTCACGAGGGTCTGGAGAATAGGAACAAACATGTTTGAATTCTGTCTCAGCTACTTGGCTGGTTAGCTCAGTGAGCTCCCAGTCTATGATACCATTTCAAAGCTTTCATATCAGGGAGGCTCTGAGCTTTATTCAGTTGCTTCGTGACATTGCACTCCCAGCCCCAGTCAATGTGTAGCCAGCAGAGTTCAGCAGAGACCATGATCCTGACAGCATAACTACCATGCAGACACGAGCTGCTGAAGGAATCTCCAAAACTGCCTCCCTGCATCTGAGGGGTCAGTTGCTTGTTCTTTATCTAAGAAGATAGGAGCAGTGGAGTGTGCTCTTCTGTGCTCATAAGAGTACTATTAGATAAGACAGGAGAGTTGGACACAATGGGGTGCATTTAAATGTTGTTTTTCTCCCCTGTGGGCATCTGTCTACTCCTTTCAAAAATAGGGTTGTATCATAACATTGCCACTAGCAGAGGCCTGCAGTGGGTAGGCACAGAGGAGGCAAAGTAGCAGGTGCCACCTGTCCTCCTCTGTTGAAAGCTTCCGTCTCATAGCTGCAAGCACTTTTCTGCTAAACATTAGTATTGGAGGCTGAAGTGTAGTTGGGGACTAAAGGTGGTTGGCATGTTACCCAGCCCAGAAACACAGGCTGCACATCTGTGCACAGTGCCTGACCTAATGGTTAGACTAGATGCAGTGAGAGTCAACTCTAGAGGCTCAGTACTTGGAAGGAGAGTTGCCCCGCAGGGGAGGAAAACTTTCTAAAGAAAGGCCTTTCAGGTGTGAAAATGCATGCAAAGCTTTGGCTTGAGAATTCTCCAGTTCCCAGATCCACAGTTTTTACTTAAGGAAAGCTCCCATTCAAGGAAACAAAACTATTAAAACAAGTAATTGAGAGAATGTGTGTTTCCTGTGTCAGGAAATACATAGCCTGCTCCCTCGTTGAGCGTTTCCCGCTTTAGCTACTTGGATAGTGGTAGGGTAATTTCCTGAAAGCAGCTATTTTTGACAGTAGTGTCCTTTATGAAATGCTTTTGAAGTTTCTGCTATGGAAGTAGGGCAAGCTACTATGCAAAGAAGTGTTTTTCCACCACGAAGTGTGGTGGATTCTGCCTCTAGGGGACATTTGGCAATGTCTTGAAGGAATTTTAGCTGTTTTACTTTGGGATGGTGGTAATGATACTGGCATCAGGTAGATAGAGGCCAGGGCTGTTGATTAGCATCCTGTGGTGCACAGGACAGCCCCTACAGAGTAACCCAGACCTAAATGTCAACAGTGCTGAGGTTGAGAAACCCTGGGTTAAGGTAACATTATTAAAATATTCTCAATTTTCTGCTTATCCCTTACCTACCTCTCCATCTTATGGAGGAACTACAGTAGAAGTTTAAAATAATAGTAATGACCCTAGCCATCTCTACTGAACACTTATTATATTTTGGACTCTGTATTGAATATATTTCCAGCTTCCTTTTTACTGGGGTATCATCTCTATTGGCCCCATTTTGGTGCATGAAAAAATGAAGACACAGGAGAGAGGCATTAAGCAGTTTGTTCAAAGCTACATGGCTAGTAAGTAGGAGAGCTGGGATCTGAACCCACAGCTACGAGTCCAGAGTTTACCCTTGACCTGAGTCAGTATCCAATATTGATCACACATTTGCTTTGGCCTCAGGTTTAACTTAATATAAAACATAAATTAATAAGCACATTGTTTAAAGTGCCACATATTAGCAGTATGCCACATAATTGGCTCTGAATATACTTCCACACGTTGAGGTTGTAGCACTTGAAACATTTTTCTGGGAAAAGTGAATTTTATGGAATGGAATTTCCAGGCTGAACTGGACCTTTAAAGATACTGAGGTCCACTTGAGGCTTTGGGAGGCACAAAGACAGGCCATGCCACAACACACAACACCCTGTTATCCTTCACTCACCCAAAACATTTGTCTGTTCTGCTTCTCAGTTCTCTTCTCCAGAACTCCTGTTAAAAAGGGCTCCCTACTCTTCTCTGGTCCTCTGAGAGCATCTCCCTTTACTGTTTCCCATCAAGTGTCTCTTTACAAGAGGTGTCGGTCTACCCAAGGAATATTTCTGCTTTCCAGAACATTTGTAGTATCTGTAGAGCCTCTCACCTGATTAGTCCATCTTCTCAGACGACTCACCTTTACAGAGAGTACCTGGGTCATTTTCACTCTGTAATTTTAAATACAGTAGTCTCTCAATTTGGGGAGGGTTGCTGTCTGAAGATTATGAAAAAAAAATATATATGTCTTGTAGGCAATCGAGGGCTTCTTTTTGAAGTCGGAGATGCTTCTGATGGCTTGGAACTGACTGAAGCAACCCCTGGGTACAGGTGGCAGATTGTGCCTAATGCCAGTTCTCCATTTGGGTTTTGGTCAATGGAAGGACAACCTTTCAGGTATGTTGTAGAAAAGGTGGAAGTACTTTACTAGCTTCTGTGAGGCTGATACAGATAATTTAAGGCAGTGAGGTTCTGGAGGAGAACTCATCACACCAGCCGATTCAGCAATGGAGCTGGACAGTGTTCGCAACTGCTAGTGATCAATATGTAAAATTCATATTTTCTACAACTCTGCTTACAATCTGCTTTGGAGATGATAATCCACTAGAATATCAAGCTAAGCAGTCTTGGTGGATAGCAGAGTAGTATCTCCTGCAGATGTAGTGGAGGTAAAGTGAACATCTGGTTGACACCAAAGTAAGATGCAAGAATTTCCCTTTGGGCCTGTGAAGGATCAAAGGCTGGGCAGCAGCAGTTCTGTTGGAGCAGCCATCCACCGCTGAAAGTTCACCTCATGGCCACTGTACAGCAGGGCAATCTCTTGTGGGCTCTGCAAGATGTGGTTTACTGCCATAGTTACTGCTTGTGATCATGATTTTCCTGTTGAGTGTTTTGAGTCTTTACTTTCTTCAATGCTGAGATTTACAACATTCAATAATAATCTTTAAAAAATATGAAAAGTTCAAGACTTGTTTAGACACTGCTTCCTTAGTGCACTCTCAGGATAGTTGGAGAAGCTAATCCTTTGCAGCTGATCCCTTAAAAATCCTTCTCAGAGAGGACAGTGGTGGCTCCTGATGTGAACTTCAGTCCGTCTGAGATCTCCTCAGGGGAATTACCATTTTATATTTCAGCTTAGTTGTGGAATGAAAGGCGTTGTTCCTGGTCTAGGGAATCCCAGGCAAGGAAGAAGCCAAGGAGGGAAGGAACACTGTTGGTGGAATAATGCTTCTTGGAGCTCACTGACTAGGAAACGAACCAACAGTCTACCATTGAAACGTGCTATCACCTGGGGTCCATTGTAGCACCTCGTATGCATCTTTTGATTCATATGATAGGACTTGTAGGTTATGTCCCTTTCACTATCATTTCGAGGAACCACAAACTAGATTGTAAATCATTTTCCATTCTCCCTCTTCTTCATTTTTTAAAATTAAATATTGGTGTATTGATTGATTGATTGATAAGGTAATGTTGTTATATTGGTGACCCTTTAAAACCATTATTTTGGAAACTATTTTCAAATATAAAATTCTCTCTAAAGACAAAAATATATGTATACATTAAAGGAAAGATTTAAAACTTCTTTATTGTGATGACCTGATGATTTTTAGATAATAACATAAGCAAAAACTAGTGTTGATATTTATTTAAGTGTTTTGATCAGTTTTTAAACTGTATCTGTCTCTAAAATAAGATCACTAGAATTTATCTTGAAACATTTCATTGAAATGGTCTTATTTTTAAAAAGTTTCACAAGATTTCCTATGATCTTCTTCAAAGTTACATTTTATGACTTTTAATTTAAAATTATTGACCCTTCAATTGATTTTTCTCTTTGGGCCATAATTGTTTCTAATTTGGAGATTATTCTGCATGTGTTGAGGTTTTCTGGTAATCTCAGAGCAAATTCTGATGGGTGGTCTCTCTTTACTTCTGATCATATGGATGACATTACTTTGGTTGAGTTACCACCATGGTTCATGGCCTATGCTGGCTGTAGCAGGCCCTCTTCTCAGCTAGGCCTTCATAAGGTCCTAAACTGTGGCTGTGATATTGTCAGTGATGACACAACCACAGAGGGATTTGTGATCTTGTGAAGACTGAGGTACTGAGATAATGAAAGATTTATGGCTCTTCCTAGAATACCCTGGACAATCATGTGGCATAAGAGACAGGATTTTCATCATCATTACCATAAAGAAAAGCAAAGTACCAGGACAACCATATGTTGGCTCAGCGATTCAGACCTTGGTTACTCTCACTTGACTCTGTGTTCTTCTGCTTTACAGAGCTCGGCTCAGTGGGTTCTTTGTGGCTCCAGAGACAAATAATTATACATTCTGGATCCAGGCAGACAGCCAAGCTTCCTTGCATTTTAGTCAGACAGAGGAACCAAAGACTAAGGTATTCATCTTCCTCTCATTTTCCTTTTCTTGTACCCTTGAAAAAAGGAAGAGTCAAAGCAGAGTTCTCATTTCTAAAGGTGATTATAATATTCCATGAGATGATCAGGGGCTCTAATTGTTGAAAAAGAATGTGGTTGAATACAATGGTATCTATTATTTATTGAGCATTTACAATAAGCCAGAAATTCTGCTATAGTTTTTACATAGTTCACCTCTAATCTTCACTGTATATCTGTGAGATATGTATATTTATCTCCATTTTCCAGATAAGGAACTTGAGGCTAAGAAAGATTGTATGGCCAATCCCAGAAAGCATGGATAATAAGAGGTATATTCAGGATACATATCATATTTGTTTGACTCCAAAATGTATGCCTTTCCACTAATTTTGGGTAGAGATGTAACCAGCCTCATATAGAAATTTCCTCATAAACTTTGGGGGAGAAGTGAAGATGCCTTTAAAAAATAGCCAAATGAAGCCATCATGTGATATGACCCAGCTATACCACTCATAGGTATTTATCTGAAAGAATTAAATCAGCATACTATAGTGATATGCATACCCATGTTTATAGAAGTAGTACAAATCACAATAGCTAAATTATGAAACCAGTCTAGATATCCTTTAATGAATAAATACATAAAGAAAATGTGGTATATATACAGAGTGGAGTTTTATTTAGCCATAAAGAAGAATTAAATTATGCCATCTTCAGGAAAATGGATGGAATTTGAAAACATATGTTAAGCAAAATAAGCCAAACTTAGAAGGTCAAGTGTCATATATTTTTTTTTCTCATATGTGGAAGATAGAGAGTAAAAAGGAAAAGAAAGGTGTGGGGGGAATCTCATAAAAATTAAAGGGAGATCAGTGGAGTAGAGAAGAGGGACCAGGAGAGGGAGGAGGGGAGAGAAATACTGGGGAGTGATATTGGCCAAACTATATTGTTACATTGTGTGCATGTACAAATATGTGACAACAAATCCCACCATTATGGACAAATATAATGTACAAATAAAATATGGAGAAATAACTTAAACATTAAAAAATGCAGCCAAGATTCAATTGTGCTATTGACAGAGAGTCACCATACTTTTAATTTGGAATTGATTTGCTAGTTGGTTAGAGAAAGGTCATAAATTGTGATGTTGTTGGGTCATTCTAGGTCAGATAAGGAAATTGAGGCTAAGAAAGATTGTATGACCAATCCCATAGGGCTTAATACTACTTTCTAGGCTTAATACTACTTTTTTTCTCTAGGGCTTAATACTACTTTTTTCTCTAGGGCTTAATACTACTTTTTTCACAGCATCATGTAGACCTGTGTTGTTAGGTTGGCTGTTCCTGCTTTAAATATGGTCTGTCTGGCCTCATTTGAATACTATTGAGAGGGAGAGAGAGAGAGAGAGAGAGAGAGAGAGCGCTGGAGAGAAAGAGAGAGAAGTGGAGAGAGAGGGAAAGAGAGGAGATGGAGGAGCATGAGCATTAGCAACCACAGGGCTAAGGTGAGTGGCCCACTTGCTGGGAAGGGCTGACTGGTTCAAAAGTCTCACATTAGTAGCTGTCCAGACATTCAAAATTTGAGAAGAAAATGACTGGAAACTTCATGTTTGTCCTGATATGTGAATTTGGGCACAGGTGGAAGTGGCCTCCGTCAGGGTTGGCACTGCTGATTGGTTTGACTCCTGGGAACAGAACGGGAATGAAGGGCCCTGGCAACAGAAGACAGCGAAGTTGGAGCTGTTGGGGGGGGCCAAGTACTATCTGGAAGCAGAGCATTATGGGACAGCCCCCAGCAGGGGAATGAGAATTGGGGTCCAGATCCACAACACCTGGCTGAATCCTGATGTGGTCACCACTTACCTCCGAGAGAAGCACCAGATCCGAGTCCAAGCCCAGAAACTTCCAGAAATACAGGTCTGCATTTCCTTCAGTCCCACAAAGCGGAAAGTCTTGCTTAGTAGAAGTACTGTCTGGGAGAGGGGACCTGAGTTGTAATTATACTGGGACATGTACTAGATAAGATTGTGAAGCTGTTTTCTTAAAAATTCAATTTTATTATTGAGATTACCTTACTCATTGACTTAGTTTTAGGAATTTAAGTTTCAGGTAAGTCTTTTTTTTGAAAACTTATTCTCCAGATCCTTCAAACACACACACACACACACACACTCATGTGAGTGCACACACAGGAAACACCATTTTTTTGACTAATGCAGGTCCTATTTCCTGATATGCTGTGCTTTCTAAGTCTACTCATAAAGATTGTCCTACTTAGTAGGTCTTTGAGTTTTGCCCCATATTTTTGGTGAGAAACTTTGATGTACTTTTTGTTGTTCACTTTTTGATGTACAAAGACAAATGGATTTGGACTCTGTGTTCTAAATCTTCTAGTCTAACAGTATCATTCACATAGATAACCATAGAACAAAGTAGAAAATGACAGAAGATTTAAGGGATTAAAAGCTACATAGATCTTATTCCAGAATAAAAATGTAATGGGTGCAACAGAGAACGTGTTGGAAGCAGAGACTGAATAAGCCTCTGGGAGAGTGGGACATTTCTTGTGGCTGCTTCTGTCTCCTGGGCCACCATGGAAGAAAGTGCTTGGTGAGAAGGGGTGGAAGTGTGGCATTCAGTGGCAACTTTAAGTCTTATGTTCTCAGAAAATTGGCACAGATAAATGGGGAGGTAGATACATATATTACTCCAAGAAAAGTTTCCATTAGGTGAAGACACTGTGTCTTCAGAGCCTCCTACATCATAGTGCATTTAGAAAACTGAAATTATTATAAAACGGAAATAGCTGGGGAGGAGACATGTTCTGTGTTTCTAGACTGACTGTGTCAGTTAGTCCTGTCTCTCTTGACTTTTTAGATGCTGAATGTATCAGGCAGAGACAGCCTTTTCCTTATGTGGGACAATGTTTCTAGCCAGCCAATCCCTGCAAATGCCACAGCCCATCAGGTGAGATCCTTCTTCAAATAATGAGGAGTAGGGTGGGAGAACTTGGGATGGTCTTGATGCCTACCGTATGGAATCCTGGTAATATTTTTTTTTCCTTTTAATAGATTCAAACCACCATTGAGGAGTTACTTGCTGTAAAATGCACACTGGAACCCCTTTCAGCCAACATCCTCCTCCAACTTGGATTTGAACAAGGTGGTGTTTCTAGCTTGGCAAATTCTTATTCTCTTTCCCATTATTTTCTTCTTCTACTTTTCTGTAAGATAAAAGAACAATCTTTGTCTCCTTTTCAAGGTGCTAACAGATTCAAAGAAAAATGTGAGCACTAGATTTGACACTGAGTGGCCAGAAGAGAAGCTATATGATTGGGAATGAGAAGTTTGGCAGAGGGGTCAGGAGAAAGGCTAGGTGTTCCTCCTGAGCTTTGACATAGGGTAAGGCACTTCCTGGGAAGTAGGAGGTAGGAAGAGGTGCAGACAGACATAGCCACAACTGTGCAATCCTGTTTAATTCAAAATGCATCTAAAAGAATTATTACATTAAAAATTGGTCTCAAAAAATTCTTAACATGTGAGAATGTCTACATGTTACATGTTACATGAGGATGTCTACACTAAGGTGAACTAACTTCCAGTTGACTATCTTTGTCTCTTTGCTTCTCGTTTTTTCTTATGTCTTGGTGCACAGAGAAAGTGGTAGTGGATTTCCATGTCCAGGCAGATGGAAAGGGTTTCTGAAAGCTGGAGTCTTCTAGCTGCAGGCTGCATGGCACGATGCCATGTCCAGCTCTCCTGGGGGCTGAGGGGCCAATATCAGAGCGAACACACAACCATTCCCTGCCCACACATTGGGAAGCTCTATCTGTTTAACATCTTTTCCTGCCTTGCTGTTTTACCTGAACTGCATCCAGGACTGGAAGGTTCCAGCTCTGATGGGGACATCACCAGTGGGACAGAGCCCTTCTGTGGCAGATTCAGCCTCCGTCAGCCTCGACAGCTTGTCCTGACCCCCATAGTTATGCAAATGAGCTATCGACTAGATGAGTACCCTCATGTGAGTAGCAGCCCTCATGCTTCCAAGTCCAGTGGGTCCTGAAGGGTTGATAGTGTTCTCTGGGTTTGAGACTGAAAACTTCCAGAAAGAGGAGCAATTGCTGTGATTTCCCCTAGGCACCTCAGGTGGGGGGTCCTTGGTGTCTTAACTGCTGTTCCAGGTGTAAATAGATACACCTCACCCCCATTTGTATGTTGTCATCTAGAAATGCCTATATTAGCTATAAGCCTACAGAAGGTTTTCTTTGCAGACCCTGCAGTCAGACTGTCAGACCCTCTGGTTTTGAATCCTGACTATACCCTGCAATCCTTCAATATCTTATTTAAGTACAGCATGCTTTGGTTTACTCATCAATAAAATGGGTAATAATGTGGTCTAATTATCAGGAATGTGGTGAAGATTAAACATATACGTATATTAAAGTGCTTGCCCAGAGGTCAGGACTCAGGAGGCTAGTTATTGTTGTTATGGTTATTGTTATTACTGATGGATTGATGGACAGGTTTTTTTGAGCATCTGTTATATCCTTTGCTTCAATAGCTCTGCCATCCTTCATAAAAGGGCTGCAGCTCATTTGCTCTTTGGGAACCACAGTGAAATCTAGAAAGGTGGAGCTCATGGCAGCAGCTTTGTGTTTTCATAGTTGTGCTATTGGCTGTGGGAAAGGGGTTAAATGGTTCTGGTCAGGGGCTCAGCTATCTTTAACCTCTCCTCTATGGCAGGCTCCCACTGGGGGTTGATTGCTCCTTAGGGGAGTGTTGGAAATGCATGGAGATATTTTTGGTTGTCACACTGGGGAATTGCTATTAGTATCTGGTAGGTAGAGACCAGGAATGTCTCTGAACATCCATTAATATGCAGAAATGTCCCCACAACAATGAGTTACCCAGCTCCCATGACATCAAGAGTGCTGAGGTGAAAAGTTTCTTGTGGCAGAAATCCTTGTGTTTATTTGAATTAGAAACCAAGGATGTTGGGGAGTTAGAGTTGAAGAAAGGCTCAAAGAGGGTGAGTGATTTACTTAAATTTGCACAGATAATTGGGTTAAAGCAATTAAGATTGGATACTTTAAAATCCTTAGGCATTTAAAAACTCTGTTGAATGTTGATATTTTTGATCTCAAAAAAGCATTTACTTCACTTCCCTCTAGCTTTATTGAAGTAAGTAAATAACAATTTGCTCTAAATTATTCGTGTCTCAGCTGGACCGGTAAGCTGCAGGAAGGTAGGAACTGGGCTTTCTCATGGCATGTGGCAGGGTTCTAGACATGTGGCCCCTCATTATACATTGTTTAAATGGCTGCTTCTTGCACCAGTGGAACTGAAGAACTTATTTTGTGTCTGTAGCTGTGTATCGCATACAAAGGCTATATGAATAAGATCCTAAAGATGACTGTGTCTTTCACAATTGGCTTTCAAACCATCAAAAAGAAGAACAGCACCTGTGACTGGAGTCTGCCTGGGACCAGCCCTGAGAGGTAGGGATTTAGTAGGAAGGGGAGGAGGGGATTCTTCCAGCTGGGGGAACTGGGGGACAGTGGCCCACTTGAGATACTGAGAGTCTTATATTTGGGACTCAGTTACTAACATGGGGCTTTGAACTTGGTTTTTTTTTTTTTTTTTTTTTTTTAATTTGACAACCAGTTTGACTTAAAAGCAATCAGCTATTAAGAATAGAATAGTGCTGGGCGCAATGGTGCATGCCTGGAATTCCAGCGACTTGGGAGACTGAGGCAGGAGTCTTGCAAGTTCGAAGACATCCTCAGGAACTTATCAAAGACCTAAGCAACTCAGAGAGACCCTGTCTCTAAATAACATATAAAAAAGGGGTGGGGATGATGCTCAGTGGTTAAGCACCCCTGGGTTCAATCCCTAGGGTCAGAGAGAGAGAGAGAGAGAGAGAGAGAGAGAGAGAGAGAGAGAGAGTTCCTTAAAGGAATAGAATTGTAGAACCCCTATTTGGGAGAGAATTTAGAGACCATCCATTGACATAATAGATGAGGAAAACTGAGAACTTATGATTCACCAAAATGCATTCAGTTAGTGCCTTTGGAAAAATGAAGGCATCCTGATCCTTGATTCAGGGCTCTTTGCACATATTTCTTCTGGGTATTTTCAGCAGCTTTAAACCTAAATGAGTCAGTAATGTCCAGCACCAATCTTCCCTGTGGTTAGAGCTAAACATATAATCTTCTTAAGATGTCCAATTAAATTGTAATTTAAAAATGCTGCTGATGCCGAGTGTCATGAGTGAATGATTGACTTACAGAGTGACTGCCTAGTGTTACAGCCAAAACTGAGCTGAGCCGATGCCAGGTGGATGTTTGTACCCAAGGCACACAAGCTGCTTCGGCACAGGGATTGTGGAGTCTTTGGCTGCAAAGTCCTTGGACAGGACTGTGGATGTTACTCATAGGCCTTTTCCCCACTGTGCTGTCTGCAGCTGGGAGTTCACATGCACTGACCTCTGGGACACATGCATGCATCGCTCCGGGGACCTCCAGCTGCCTCTGTCAAATGTCCCTGTGTCAATTCATCAGATTGTCCTCCTTCCTTTGCCCCAAGAGACTGGTCAGCTCTATATGGATGAAATTATTATCACAGACACAAACATAACAGGTGATGATCAAATGTGCAGTCCTCCATGAACCTGCCTGTCAAATGCCTACCTCACACTTTCCCACTAGAGGTTGTTGTTCTTTTAATAGAGTAATGGCTGATTCTCTACTTTATCTGCTGTGGTTCTGAAAGCAGAATGATTGGAGCTGGGTGACCTTGGTTCTACTTCTCTCTCACTGGTCCTTTTTCTCCTTATTTATCTCATTTATTGACTCTTGTTTCTGGTGCTTGTGTTCTTATTCTATCACTTTTTGGCTGGGGAGCTTTGGTTTCCTCATCTGTAAATTGGGCATAAGAAGGAACCTATCTCACTGAATTTCTGTGAAGCTCAACCAAAGTTTAATATAAACCACTCATTACAGGTTCTGACCATAGTGTGCTTTACAAATTAAGCAGTTATTATTATTGTTATTAGGCCAGCAGGATTTCTCCACCTCTCAATTCAATTTATCTGTCATACAGAGTGCTAGAAGTATTGCAATGATATTTGGTCTCCTATATAGGCTTGAGGTATGATTATGAACTTGAAGGAAGACAGGGAGAGTGAGGAGCCATATGCTTCTGAGAGAATGTCCCTGTCCTTCTTTAGGTCCATCCACACTCCTCCCACTCATTCTTCAGAGCTCAGACCTGGTCCCCTCTTCCACAAAGTTTCCTTTGGCCTGTTTTGGGCACAGTGTTCTCCCCTGGCTGGGTTGTCCTTCTTGTGGTAGAGACAAAGTGTTACCAGGGGCCCAGTGAATCTGGCCATGTTTAATGTGCACCATAGCCAAAACCGAATGGTGCAGTTTGCTCTTAGGGCCTCCCCATTTCTCAGTTTTGTTCCTTTTCTTTTTCTGTTAAATATTTTATGACTTTGGGGCTCAGCTTTCCTGTTTTTTTTTTTTTTCTTAATAGCTTCTCTCTCTCCAAGGAGAAAAAGATGATATAGTCACTTGAACTTTGATTTACAAAGTGCCTAACTTTTTTTTTTTTTTTTTGTCTAAAAATTGCAGATCTGAGTATAGGGAGATTGAGGATAGGTGACAAGAAGACTCTTTGTCAGCCCTGAAATTACATCATCTCTGATACTCATCAAAATTTCATTTCCTATCTGTTTCAGTGAGTTAAGTGTTTTTTTTTTTCTTTTGAGCTGCTGGGTCAGATTGGGCCATTGCATATATTTCAAACCATTCTTATTCTGGCACACTTAGAAAATGACAGTATTCCAGAGGCATGCAAGGATACCTCTTGGATTTGTTGGTGCCTAAGATAACTGGCTGGGGGACTTTGGTGTCCCCAAGTGCAGTCTGGATTTCCAGAGGTTTGAGGGGATCAGTATTTCAAACACTTGAACCCACTGGTTGGAAAACTCTGGTGCCATTTCACTTTCTCCTTTAAATGGCATCCTGGCCCTCCAAACCCTGGAAGCAAGGGTCTAGAACCTTTCTTGCAACTGCCATCTTTTCTGCCAGCAAATGCTCTGTGGACCTGGAATCATCTAGGAGTGAGGTGAGGAGGGAAGAAGTAATGGAGAGAGTGGGAACAAGAAAGAAGCCTGAGGTTGGCTTGGGTGAAATGGTTTTCTTCCAACTTTGTCAAGTTACTCTATTGGCAATGATTTTGTTCTAAGGATTAATTCATGGCAACATAAACACTACTCAATTGGGCTCAGGTTTCAAAGTTAATTATATGTTATTTATTTGATTCATTTAATATTTAATTATATTCACCTATCTAATCTCCTCTATAAAAATTATTTTAATCTAGTGTCAGTTTCCATTTATTTTTCATTTAGTTCCTCAGAAGCCCATAAGATGGTCCTATGATCTCCATCCTACGAATGAGGAAACCAAGGCCGATGGGGTATCTCTTAGCCCTTCCCTTTCTCCTTTCTCTTCTTGCAGAGCACACAGCTGGGATGTGAGAGAGATCAGAATCCAGGTATCACTGACACTCGAGCAGACCCTTCAGAGGCCCAGTTGAGCTAATAATCATGTACTGAACACCTACTTCATGTCTAGTGTTGTTCTAAATATTGAGCACACAGAGATGGATAAACCAAAGATGTTGCCCTTGAACTCTTTATAGTCTAAATTGTTTTTTTTTAAATTATTGGTTTCTTTTAGTTATCCATGACAGCAGAAACCATTTTGATATAATTATTCAGGCATGGAATATATTTTATTCTAGCTAGGATCCATTCTTAGGGGTGTACATGATGGTGGGATTCACTGTGTTGTTTTCATATATGTACATGGGGAAATTATGTCAGATTCATTCTACTGTCTTTGAAGTTGTCTTTTTTCCCCAGTGCCTAATAGGAGGGTAAAAGGATATTAAAAATATATGACACTGGTCTCACTAAACTCCCTGCCATGAGATTGTTATCAGTCATGCATGTCAGGATCCCCACTTTACAAATGGGAAAACTGAATCATAGGGAGTTCATGTCAGTTGGCTTACTGGGGATCCAACATAAGTGGAGAAAGTGTTCGCTTTTTCAGCACTCTGGGAATTAACACTGTGATAGAGGACCTGTATGGGTCTGCCTCCAAGAGCACAGTCAGTGACCTTTGGCTGACTCAGAGTTTATGGGACTTTGCCTTGGAATCAATCATCCACTGAAGCCATGACCTTGCATTTCTTTTTGGTATTAAACTGAATGGTGGGTCCTTCTGCCACCTGTCCCTTTGCTTTCTGTGTCAGCAGGTGGGTAGGAACCTGTGCTTTAAGGTTGCACTGTGAGCTGAGTAACCTAACACCTCCATGTGGGATTCTTCATACATTGCTCTGTCGCTTTGAATTACTTGATAATAACAGGATCATTGGTCTCTAGTTTCTCCAGTTGATTATGGAACAGCTCGTCCAGGTGGGAACCTGGTGGAATCCATCTCTGTGGTGGGAACCCCTCCAGTCTACAATGTAGCCTTCTGGCCTGCAGGGTGTGGCCTGGAGCTCCCACTTATCACTGCATGGTAAGGAGTGGCTTTGTACCCCTGTCCCTCCTTAGGATTGCTGGTTGGCTGTGGGAATACAGAAGGGGGACTTCTGTCTGGACAAGGACCTGTTTTACTGCTTAAAGGAATGTTTTCATCTTGAGCATCTAGCATCAGACTCACCAGGAGGTCTTGCTAAAACAGATTGCTGGGCCTCACTTTCAAAGCCTCTAATGAAGTAAGTTTGGGACAAGGCCTGAGAGTTTGCATTTTTTTAATGAGTTGCATTTTTTAATGAGTTTCCTGGTGATGCTGATTCTGCTGTTCTGGGGACCACACTTTGAGAACTATTTTCTATTAACTTTGTTTTAAAATAGTTGAATTTTTGTGCTGTTTCGAGATTTACATTCACATTGTTTTCTGTTTACTCTCCCATTCCATTCCCCATATATTGATCTTGTTGAGATTCTTTGAAGTTAAATGAAATAGTAGTCTTAAGGAACAAAAACAGGCATTTCTGAAAACTCACCACCAGATGGCATTAGAATGCTATAAGTCTGGCTTCTTAGAAGTCAACTATTTCTAGACATTGGTTTACAAAGCAGCAACTAAGGGTCAGGCTCCCAGAAGTCTGTGGAACACATGCATGCTTTAATTCATTCTTTTAACTTTTCACTTAAACCCCAATACAATGGAAGAATTCAGATGCTCTGACTTTAATATGTGTGTTTCATACATAGATATGTAATATGTGTGTTCATGTATGCCTGCCTCGAATCTCTTTCTTTTGTTTCAAAGAATGAGTTCTCATACTTACAACCTGCTGGATGGTATATTAAAGGGAGGGAAAGAAAGCTTGAATCTGTGCTTTATTTTCCTTGATATATTGTTTGTTCCATGGTCCTCTGAGCAGGAAATGTGTTAAATCCACCACCAGAATGAAGAGGTGAGAAAGCTTTGGTGGTAGAGAGGAAGCTTCCATATTGGTTGTCTCTAAATGCTAAAGTTATTAACTCTGAAGTAATAGTGGCTAATTTACATCACTGAGTAGTTTCATGCTGAGAGTGGTCCTCACAACCTTCTTTTCTGAGTGTTCCTCAAATCCCTGTGATGGCTCCTCTGTAAGCTTCTGGCCTAAGCAAGACAGAACAACCTTCAGACTAGGTTATCCAGGATACATTCCCCACCCAGGCAGTGCCACTCTGTCATTTCTCTATGTTGGCTCATATGCATATCAATATGTGGTACTTAAATAATACTATTGACAGATATTGTACAAGTCTCATTGAAATTTTGGAAAATACAGAAAAAACACATAGAAGATAAAATTCATTCATAGTCTCACCATGGAGAAGTAACTTCTGTTAACACATTGGGCCTATATTCTGCTTTTTTTCCCCCAGCAGTGTTTGCATACATATATCCATGTGTATATTGACTTTTTAAATGTCAAACTAGGATCATATATTACATACTCTATGTATTACTAGCCCTTTTCAGCTAATATTATAGGTTGAATCTTTAAACCCCTCGACAATGATTTTTTTTTCTCTTTTTTAATGTTTATTTTTTTAGTTTTAGGTTGACACAATATCTTTATCTTACACTTATGTGGTGCTGAGGATCGAACCCGGTGCCTCGTGCATGCTAGGCGAGCACTCTACCACTGAGCTACAACCCCAGCCCTCAGCAATGATTTCTACTGAGTGAATTGGTCTATTTGGCTTCTGGAACAAAATAACATAGATTGGCTATCTTATATAGAACAGGGATTTATGTCTCACAGTTCTGGAGGCAGGGAAATCCGTGATTGGTGCTCCCATAGGTTCAGTGTTTGGTGAGGGTTTTCTTCCCGGTCCATAGATAACACCTCATCATGTTCTCACTTGGTGGAAGAAAGGAACATCTCTCTGGGCTTATTCTGTAAGATCACTATTCCCATGCATGAGGGCTGTACCCTATGACCTAATCACTTCCATAAAATTTCCACTTCCCAATAGCATTACCTTGGGTATTAGGATTTCAACATGTGACTTGTGGGGACACATATGTTCAGACCAAAGCAATAGCTAAATAGTGTTCCACTTCATGATGTGTCACAATTTATTGGGCCAATCTGTCATTTTAAAAGCAGGATTGGGTTAGGCATGGTGGCACACACCTGTACTCCTAGAGGCTAGGCAGGAGGGTTTCGAGTTCAAAGCCAGCCTCAGCAAAAGCAAGAAAGCAAGGCGCTAAGCAACTCAGTGAGACCATTGTCTCTACATGAAATACAAAATAGGGCTGTGGGTGTGGCTCAGTGGTTGAGTGCCCCTGAATTCAATCCCCAGTATTCTAAAAAATAAAATAAAAATAAAATCAGGATTGGGTGCGTAGTTTGTAGATAGGAGTTATATAAGAACTGGGCTAGCTGGAGTGACTGACAATACTTCAGCTGGGGATACTAGATGAGGCAGCACCTGTGGACCAGAGCACACTGGCTTTTTGTTTGAATATGTAAATGAGACTAGAGAAAACCAAGTTCTCTTTCAACTTTGTGGACTGAAGTCATTCGCTGTTCTCTGCTCCTAGGATTAGTGTTGGGTGAAGGGTGGAATGCTCTTAAAGAATTCTAATGTTTATATTGCACTTTTCTTGCTGTGGTGAAAGAGGGATGCTCAACATATGGGAGCTTGGGCTCCTTTGCCTGGGACCATGGGTGATGAACTAACTGGTCTTTGAGATGGAGCAGTGTTCTATGTGAATTGGCACATCTTGAAGGCTCTGTGGTTAATGCTTTGCTTCTGACATGCTGCAGCTCTGTGCCCACTGAAGAAACAGAAGGATCTGGACCGGTCCATGTGACAGCACAAAGACTACAGAGGACAAGTCCACCTTTGGGAGGACATTTTCGCATCCAATTTCCTAACACAGAGATTCCTGGTAAAGGGGCAATTTGGGGGTGCAAGACCTCCCATTTCTATCTCTAAGGGCATTGTCAGACAAACACGTCCTGTGAATAGTTAGATTGTCTGATAGTCTCAAAGTTATTTTGTTTGTCCCATGTCTGAAAATGGCCTTCTTAAAATTAAAGATGTGGAAAGGGACTTACTGTTTATATAACCCAAACTTTTAAATTTTGTAGATATGGAAATTGAGTGGATTTGCTTCCTGGAACTGTCACAATAAATTATTACCAACTTAGGGACTTAACACTACAGAAATTTCTTCTCTTCTAGTTTTGGAGTCCAGAAGCTCAAGATCAAGTTATTGCAGGCCCACACTCTCCACAGCAGGTTCTAGACGAGGACCCCTTTCCTGACTCTTCTAGTTTTTGGTGGACATTGGCGTTCCTGGGCTGTGGATATATTACTCCAACTTTGTGGTCACGCTGCCACTGCCTCTTCCTCTCTGGTCTCAAAATATCCCCTGCTCTCTCTTATAAGGATACATAGAATTACATTTGGAGCCTACCTGGATAATCCAGGATAAACTCCTCTCAGACCTTTATTTAACCAAGTCTTTTGGCACATGATAATATTCATTCCTTCCCCTTGTAAGGTAACATTAATATGTTCAGGGGATTAGAGCATTGGCATATCTCTTGGGGGCCACTGTTCAGCCAGCTACACTGAGGCACACCCAAAGATCATACAGATAAGTAGTCGATGACAGGGTCTGGATAAGAACCTGTGTATTTGAGTCTCAGGTCAGTCCTCTTCTCTCTAGAGCCTCCTAGGCCAAGTTCCTTGATAGAAGTGTCCTTTAGAGTTAACCTAATGGTGACACCATGGGTTCTTGAGTATTTTAATGGTCATAACAAATGTGGAAAGAAATTGCAGATGCAATTAGGGTAGTGTTTTTAATCTTTAAGAATACACGTTTCACAAGTGATAACAACAGTATGTTACTTATTTGATAAAAGTATGAAGAACCAAAAGGGAGGCTCAGGAAAAACTCAAGAGAGACTGGATAAAAGTTGGTACATAGCTCAAAAATCTCCTGCCGGAGAAGAAAGACATTCAGCTTGCAAAGGATCTTCTTGGGTGGAACATGAGAGTGTTTTTACTGAAATCCGGCAACTTAGGAACAGTTGAGGGCCCCTTGGTCATTATCTGATGCATGAACAAGTGCCTGCAGTGTTCCACTGCCATGATGTTCCTTACTGACCTTTACTTTTCACAAACAAGAGAGATTATTTGAGAGAGTCCTTTCTGCCGTCCTGTTCTGTTGCTGATGTTCCTCACATCGCTGCCTGCAAAAACAAGCAGGGGAAGTCAGATTTCACCTGGCATTTTGAAATGGTGACGGGCCTGAAATTATGTTTAAATGTAGAAAAATGATTTTTTTTCCAATGATGAGATACTTTTGCCCACTGAAGGAACAGAAGGAAAGTGGCATTTTATTAACCCTTCAGGGCAGTGTGGAATTCAAGAGGAAGGCTCTTGCGTCAGTACAAGGCACCCTGTGTTTTAATCTAAACCTCTCTCGTCAGGTTGGCAAGCTTGAGAATATGGTTAGTTTTCATTTTCTTCATCTCTGAAGTAGGCATCAGTACCCAAGTGACCCACCACACAGGGCTGCTGGAAGCAACTAATGAAATGGAAACTTTTGGTAAAGCATGAAGCAGGGTTCAAACACAGAGCTTTGTTATTTCTCTGTGGGGATGTGGAATGGGGAAGCAGGTGGTTGGGCTTAAAGGAAATTCTAATAGAGAAACTGAAGTTAAATGCCAACATTCCTCAGCTGGGTTGGCTAAGTTTTTATGGGTGTCAGCTGCCGTATGCCTCCCCCACTCCCTGTGAAAAGTGGCCAACTTTTCTCTGTTCACAGGGCCAGCTAAAATTTTCCAGGGAAAACCCAATGTTTAATTAGACTTTCAGTCTTTCTATAGATGTCTGGAGCTTATGTTTCTACTTGACAGTCGAGACTGTTTTGTCTGATAAAATGTGTTCTCTGCCTGCTATTTGATATGATTCTGATGGAAGATATTACAACATAAAAAGTGGGCATCTACTTGAGTTTGCACTGGGAAAAATGTTTCAGCCAGGGCTGAAAGTTCTCTTGAAGCTATATCTTGAATTGGAAGGTCTCCTGCAAATTTAGTAGGCATCCTGGTGTTTATTCTTCGTCATCCTTGATGATGAGACCCTGAAAGATGAATTAACCAGACTTGTGTTTTCTATGCCCAAACCTTCCCTTACAGATGTCCCTGTGCACATTTCTGCAAGGCACCTTCGAAAACTCTTACAGGACAATGCTGATAACTTCACCTCCAGATACCTCAATGTCAGTGATTTCACTGTGAAGGAGGATCTAAACTCTTGCTATGAACATGTATGGACCCTTTCCTGGTCCACCCAGATTGGGGATTTGCCCAATTTTATCAGAGTATGTATGATATCACGTTGGGTGCTGTGAATTTGGTGCCTTAGGGAAATTTTGTAAAAAAAAAAAACAAAAACCAAAAACAAAACAGAAAATCAGAATTATATGAATTAAAACCCTCATGGATTATTATTTTGTTGGAATATTCAAGCAAGGGATCCTATGCTTTCTTTCTGGAAGCTTTCAACAAATATTTTGCACTTCGTGTTCCTCTTGAACAATTTAGACTCAATGTCTCTTTTCCTAACTCTCTGCAATAGAGAAGTTGTTGGTCAGTGTCCGTCGTTCAATAATTCCACATCTGTTATTGGATAATTTAAGCAGATGTGATTGACTTAGATTTTCATGGAGGCAGATGGCAGAACAGAAGGAAGTTTAGAGAAGGATTTGCTGTCTTTGGATAATGACAAAACCAGATGCTCTTGCATATTTAGGATTAAAAAATAATCTAATGAACATCTAGCATTTGGTTATTATAAAATAAAGCCCATGATGAAATTTTATTCCAGTTATATGGTATTAAGGGTCATCTGGTTTTCAAACAAAACCATGGAGAGGAGATGGGAAAAAGTGCTCTTATCTCAAAGCACTGTTTTCTTACATTTCATTTTAGTTTTTTGGATTGCAAATACAGAAAATAGAGAAAAATATAGAAGGAAAATATCACAAGACTTAGAAGATTGGTTGGTTATGTCTCTTTTTGAATGTCTCATTTTTTAATAAGTATCTTTCTAATCTACTGGGCTTTCATTAGCTATTATTACTGAAGGTTTCTAGATTTTAATTCTTTGTCACTTCAACTCATTCTCTAGCTATCTGAATATCTCAAACAGAATGTGAAGAACTTCTTATCATTTGTTTTAATCAAGAATACATTTCTATTCTATGGCAGAACTGATCAGAAATTTAACTGTCTCAGGTGTCTGATCAAAGTCTGACTGGGATGAATCCTGTGGTAACCACTCGTGTGGTGTTTGATGGTGGAGTTTTTCTTGGACCCATGTTTGGAGACATGCTGGCCACTGCCAACCAGCACACTCAGGTGAGAGTAGATGGGTCCCTGTGGTGCAGGCAGCAGTTCATGAAGTGAAGGTGGAAGGAAAGTGTCTATTTCTTTGGCCTTTAGTCTCAAAGAAAGGGTTTTTTTTTTTACATGAGTGAGTGGTACCCAGTTGAAAATAGGTTGATTAGCAGTCTATGCAGCTTGCATTTATGACATTTACTTTGTATGCAGAAGAAATTTACTAAAGATTTAGCATATTCAGCTGTGGGTGGTGGTATGTACCCATAGTCCCACCTACTCAGGAAGCTGAAGCACAAAGATCTCTTGAGTTTGTGACCAGCTTGGAAATCATAGTGAGACCTCCATCTTTAAAACAAAAATAGCTCAAATGCAGGCGGATATTAACAAGAGAATAGACAGGAGTACTTGCGGGTAGTTAAGGGCTTAAACGAACTATAGACCGATTCGTAGTATTCATCTATTGGCATTTAGTAAGTTGTACGAAATCTGGGTGGTCATGCTTAAGAGGAAAGATGGGGAAAAGGTAAGGAAGCAAACCAAGAAAGAGAGAGGGAGAGAGGAAAGAAAGAGAAAAGAATAGAAAAGAAAAGGAAATGATAATAAAAAAATAATAAAATGCAGTAAAATAAAAATCACAATTAAAAAAATAATATAATTAAAAAATAAAAATTAAAAAATTAAAAAAATTAAAAAATTAAAAAAAGAAAGAAAAAAAAAGGCACTGTTAGACTTCCATCTGTATATGGGGTAAAAATGGGAGTTCATAACCCACTTGAATCTAAAGTATGAAATATGATATGTCAAGAGCTTTGTAATGTTTTGAACAACCAATAAAAAAAATAGCATATGTAACTGTAAACATGAATTTAAGTCTTTCTACCATAAATTTAAGAACACTTAACGTGTTTTGTGCCATTCATTATAATTTTAGGTTTTAGGCTTTTTACTGGGAAAATAGAAGAAAGAAATGGGAATAAGTGAATCATTAGCATATTTTAATTTGGGAAATCTTCATAAGTACATTATGGCTATTCTCATGTGTATGAAGTGTCCACGTTGTTTTAACTTCTTTTACTTTGTTTCAGGTGGTTGTACGAGTGAATGACATACCAGCTCATTGCCCAGGTTCCTGTTCCTTCCAATATCTCCAAGAGTCAACTCCCAGCGTCCATTCTGTGTGGTATTCCCTTGGTATGATTTGTGACTTGGCACTGAGACAGTCATGGATCTTAGACTCAGTGATTTTATTTAGAGGCCATGTAGCTGGTGCTGAGGGATAGAAGGTGCATTAGTTCAGTAAGTAGAGGGTGAATAATGAAGCAGAAGGTCCATCTTGAGGTCCATCTAGGGAATATGTTTATTGTTTGAGAAGGAAACAATTTTTTTTTGATAACTTAAATTTTTTTTTTTTTGTCTCTTATTTTGAAATATTCATTTTGATTTTTTTAATTAAGTAGTGGCCTCTCATTACTAGTTTGAGAAAATTTAAGATGGAGTCTGTGTGCTACAATGAAAAATGCAGTTGTCATGGTTGAGTCAGCATTTGACTCTCTGAATTTTAGGAGGGAAAAATGAATGAGAATAAAAATTTGATGTGAGAGAGTGATATCACTAAGAGATGATTTTTTTTTTATTTTTAAATTTCTTTCCTCTTTTCAGATGGTGACATCAATCCACTGGTTTATATTACTGGAACTGGTTTCCCTGATGATTCCCAGTCTTTACAGGTTACGGTGAACAAAATGAGTTGCAAAGTTATTTTCTCAAACCAAACAAATGTAGTATGTCTATCAGACCTGCTGCCAGTCGGAGTACATCCAATCTCAGTGTTGGTGAGACCCTCTGGTCTTGCCGTCAATGCCAGTGGAGAAGGCCTCTTCCTATACGTGAGACCCAGGCTTGATGCTGTGGAGCCTTCCAGAGCTGCAGAGATTGGTAATCTGGGCCTTGCAATGCATCTGACTCTCTGAAGCTAGCTTTCTAGTCAGAATGCTAAATGTAATCCTACAGTATAGTAAATTCCATATATACCATAATTTACAGCTTTATGTTCCTATACATTTCTGCTAATTAGCAACAGACCCTTAAGCCCTTAAGTGAACTCCTTTGTAACATAGTGTAGGTTGGCTTTGGTGTCAAGCGTAATGAGTTAAGTCACCCAGTCACAGAGTCCATTCGCCTAGTGGGAACAATGTAGGATTGGGAACCAGAACATTCCTGGGATTTTGTACTATCTCAAGTCAGATGTGTGAACTTAGAAACTGCAGTTACTACCAAGGGATTTAGTTTCCTAATAATGATGATGACAGCAACAGTATCATTTATCAGGTGCTGCTTCTGAGAAGTCATACATCTTAAAGGCTATACCTGCCCCCCAAATGGAATGATTGTCCACATTCTTCAGATGAGACAATGCTGGTTCTAAGAGGAAAGTGTTTTGGCCAAGGCTTCACAGGTAAAGAGGCAGAGCCAGTGAGCAAACCAGAGCTCTCCGACATCAAGTCTCTTGTTTCCTTTATGTGCCATACTGTCACGGCCTTACCAATACAACCACTAATGATGCTTCACTTATAGGCTAGCTAGCCTTGTGTCAGAGGAAATGAGTTAACAGTTGGGAAAGCCCCTTTAACAGTAAAATCACTCAATAAATGTGAAGTACAGAACTTGTCCTCTAGGAGCTTTGTGCATTGCTGATATTTCACAAATGTGTGTTAACTGACGTACACTTGGCTAGTGTACAATGCAAACTCATGTTTAAGTAGTGAGGATCCAGAGGGCAGTAAGTCTTGTTAATATCTGCCCCATGAACTGGGTCTTAGTTCCATGGAAAACGGGAAATTTCTCCACGACTTGCTACTTTCTAGGGGACACTACCAGTTTAAAACAACCCAGTTGGATTGTAAGAATCTCAGGAATACTCATGCTTATGTTTGCTGATGTAAAAATTTTGGCGCATAAAACTCCTTTCCTTAATGCTTTGGATTTTTCTCATTGTTTGTTCTGGTGACCAGAGGCTTGTAGCTTAGAATACATTTTAAAGCAGTGTAATTTGGCCACGAACTCATTGTTCAAAGGAAGAGTTTGTTTCTGACACTACTTGGACCTAGAAGAGTGAATCACAAGGGCCTCCCCACCTCTTCTCTGTACATAAAACAGAGAAAGCTCTTATTTCTTAGTGGTTTTAGGAAGGACCCAGATGACAAGTGGTGCTCAGCGATCATATTCCATATCGACCCAATAATTACTAGCTTGAGTTTAGGGCATATAGGTCTTCCCACTAGATTTATAAGGGATTGTGATTTTATTACAAAGTTAATTTTGCAGTTCAAGTCACGCCAACTCTCTTCATCTCTCCCCACTAGTTTGTAGACACCATATGAGCAATGGGTGGCTCAGTTCCGTACACAGAGTGCCTGCCATCGGGAGGGTGGCTAAATGTCCCAGTTTTCCTGGGATGGAGTAGGTTCTCAGGATGCAAGATTTTGAGTTTTTAACTAGGATGCAGAACTTTGAGTGTTAAATATTGGTCCCAAGGAAATCAGTTGGTCACTGTACCAGGGACGCTGTACCAATGATACATAGTGAAGAGATTTGAAGGTCTGGGGTGGGGGGTGGGTCATGCATCAAAAGATGAAAAACTCTGAGAAGGGATAAATACCAGTTGGGTGCAAATTTACTTTTATTAAGACTACAGGTAACGGAGGAAGAGAGAGAGGATGCATCCTGGGTCCTGCCAACCTACGAAGCATTAGCCTATGTTAGTCACGCACACAACACTAACTGTGTCACCCAGTACAGAGTCCTGTACTGTAATGGCAGTACATTATGTACTGTATTTCAGTACCAATTGGTACGGAAAGGTGGTCCTGGACCAGCAGTATTGGGATCATCTGGGAGCTTGTTAGAAGCATCGAGCCTCAGGCCTGTCCCAGACCTCCTGAACTGAGGTGTATTTTTAAAGGCTCCTCAGACAATCTCTGTGAATAATACAGTTTGAGAAGTGTGCTAGAGGCGCTTTAAAGAACACCACGTGGAGGACTATGAGAAAAGAACAAAAGAAGACCTGAGTATGTAATGAATATATATCATGTCATCCATAATACTCAGAATCACCACTTCCCCATATGCTGAAGTGCCCTCAAAAAGCTTTTTGAGCACAGTCTTGGCTGTGCCTTACATACTCCCTTGGTCCCCTGTTGTGCTAGGTAGACTGGCCTTCTGCTTATGCAAGTGCCCTTGTGAGGGACCTCAGCTCTCAGCCAGGAATGGAAAGTGTCACCCCCTCAATGACTGCCTTCAACAATGATCAGGATGACAAAAATCGACTTAGCTCTAATATACCAGGCAATATTAATGCCAGGGATATAGCAAATAAAATAAAAAACCCCTCTTTCTGGGAGGGATGGTAGTAAATATATAGGAGAAAAATCAAGAAGGGAATGGGATGAAGAGTGATGGAGGGGTTTGTGTGCTACGATGGTCATTGGCATTGGAGGAATGACGTGGATAACTCTGGAGAGTGGAGACAGGGATGCAGTGCAGGAATGAGTCCTGAGGAAGTCTTGGGGGAGAGAACTTGAAGCAAAAGAAACCTCAAAGGTGCCTTGAGTTAGAATGAGCTTGGCTTGTTCCAAGGACAAGGAGGTTGCTAAGTCTGGACTAGATGGAGTGAGGAAAGTCGGGTAGATGAGCAGATCATATGCCCCATGGGACTATGACAGGAGTTTAGCTCTTATTCTGCATGAGATAAGGGCCAATGGAGGATTCTAAGTGACAATAAGGCCGTACTACAGGAATGCAAAGATGAGCCTGAAAGCTATTACTATCATCCAAGAAAAGAGGTAATGTTGGCTTTCACTCAGGCCATATACAAGTAGATTTGCTCTAGTTTTTTACTCCAAGTGTTCTTTCTTTGAACTTGAAAAATTAAGACATAATTCCCACACAACAAAATTCACCTTTTTTTTTTGGTTTATCACATTTTTATAGGTGCATTGCAGTTGCACGTAATGGTGGGATTTGTTGTTACACATTTGTAATGCATACAATATAACAATATATTTTGGCCAATATTACTCCAAAATTCACATTTTAAAAGTGTACAATTCAATGGTTTTCAGTACTTTTGGGCTGTTAGGAATAATACTCCTCTGACAAGGATTTATGGGGATACATAGTTTCAGTTCTTTTGGGCATATATTTGGGGATGAGATTGCCATATGGTGACTTTGTTTCATTTCTTGAGGACCTACCCAACTCTTTGCAAAATGTCTGCATGAATTCCCATTCCCACTAGGCTACAGATCACCAACACTTGTCATTTTCTGTTTTTGCTTCTGTTTACTTTTTATAGTAGCCATCTTAATGGGTGTGAAGTGGCAGTTCATTGTGGTTTGATCTGCATTTTTCTACTGATGTTTGCATTTCCTACTGATATTTAGCATCTTTTCAAGTACTGATGGGCCACTGTGTAACTTCGTTAGAGAAATGATTGCTCAAATCCTTTGCCAATACTAAAAGTTGTTTTTTTTTTTTCATTTTATTGTTGAGTTATAGTTTTTTTAAAAATATATATTCTAGATACTAACTTTTATCAGGTGTATGATTTAAAAATATTTTCTTCTATCACGTGGAGTTTTTTTTTTTTTTTTTTTTAACTTTTTTAAACAGTGTTATTTGAGGCACAAAGTGTTTGTTTCTTTTTTCTTCTTTTTGTGGGGCTGGATTGAACCCAGGGTCTTATTCATGTAAGCAAGTGCTCAACTATTGAGCTACATCCCCAGCCCTAAAAATGTTTTTAATTTTGGTGAAATCCATTTCATATTTGTTGTTGTTTGTTTTGTTTTTGGCACTACATCTATGATATCATTGCCTAATCCAGTGTTACAAAGGTTTATGCCTGTGTTTTCTTTTTATAGTTCAGCTCTTACATTAGGTTAGATCTTAGACTATTAGCTCTTACACTTGAGTTACTCTTTTTGTACAGCATGATGTATGTTTCCAGTCTTTTTGATTTTTATCAAATTTTTTAGGAAAAAAAGCAGCGGAAATTGAATAATTTTTAGTGTGTTTAAGAGGCATTATATCTTCTTTTGTAATGAACTGTCCATTTCCTTAGTTCATATTTTCTACTTGAATATTGTTCTTTTTTAGTGATTTTATTTTATTTTTATTATATATATCACATTTATGAATTGCAATAAATAGAAAATAAAGTATGTAAAATGTGTGTGTGTGTGTGTGTATATATATATATATATATATATATATATATATATATATATATACACACCCCCATCTATACATATATTTTGTGGTACTGAGGATTGAACCCAGGGCTCACACATATAAGCGTTCTACCCCTGAGCTAAAGCTTCAGTCAATTTAAAAATTAAAAAAAAATTATTTTGAGACAGAATCTTGCTATATTGCTCAGGATGGGCTTTATTTTGTGATCTTCCTGCCTCAGCCTTCTGAGTAGCTGGGATTACAGGCATGTACCAATGTACCTGACTAAATAGCTCTAATTTTAATGTAATAAGTTAGATCTTCTTTTTATGGCATAGGAGTTTATAAAATACTTAAGATGAGCTTTCAATCTCTGAAGTTATATGAAAATTAAAATTCTATTTCCTCCTAGGTTTTTTTTTGGTGCTTTCTCTTATGTGTTTGAATATTTGATGAATTTGGAATATATTTTTGTGAAGGATGTGAGTGAGGTACAAATTCAGATTTAATTTTTTCAGTGTTAACCAGTTTTTAAAATTTACTGAATAAGTAGTCCGTATGTTTCACACTTATGTGAAATGTCATATTTTTCGTATCCTATAGCCACATATTTATCTGAGTTTCTTCCTGGACTCCCATTTTATTCCATTCCATGGAGCTGTCTAAGCATGCTCTGTTATTAGCTTTTGATTATATATTTTTTTCAAGATATTTTAATGCCTAGAAGAAGATATCTTTATTCTTACTTTTGAAATTTGCTCTCAACCTATTTTTATTTTTCATTGACATTTTGAAGTAGATTCTCTAATTTAAGTGAAAATTCTAAAAGAACTTTTACTGGAATTGCATTGGTGTATTTTGTTTAGAGAGATTGTATATTCACTCTCTCTATTAATTTATTTTAGTTTTCTTACCTAAGTTTTAATCTACCCATTAAATTTTTTTCAGTAGCATTATAAAGTTTCTTTATATTTTTCATCTTCATTTGTTTTTCTCATCAAGTTTATTTCCACATATTGTCTCTTTTATGTTGCTCTTGTAGATTGCCTTTTCCTTCTATTTTATTCTCATTTAAAAGTGTATTGTGGTCTTGCTCTGATTCTTCAGGACAAGCTACATCTTTAATTTCAGGATATTATTCCACCCAGTCACCTTGTTGCCAAGGGTTTTCTTCAGGTTGTGTGAGTTCCCTTTCTCTCTCTGACATGCTTCTGACCCCTGCCCTCCTCCTCACTCTCAAGGAGTACACATGTCTATTTGGTGGCCTTCAATACCCTCTTGAATCACCTTCTAGGTAGAAGTCAGAACTGAATCGTTTCTATTTTGAATAATAAGTGGGTTCTCTATTCATCAGCTGGACCAAGGGCTGCTTCTCCAAATAAGACCCTGTATCACAATATCAGTAGGACTGGCATCATCTCTCTTCTTACCAACCTCTGCCGTGAGGAGGGGGGAGTGTCTGTGGCTGCTTTTCAGTGGCTGGCAGAGAACTCCTGATGGCAGTGGGTGATAGCACCAGTCATTCCTATACCATCATGGTGACTAGAACCTAGTACATGTGGTATTAAATCAAAATCAGTAGAGCTAATGCCATCATTTAAAAATGAGGAAAGTGAGAGCCAGTGAACTGAGGGACAATACTACAAATGACCTGCTTTAAGTGGCAGAATATTCTGTGATCTTGACTCTGAGCCTACTGCTCTCTTGACCATGATGCTCTCTTATACTTGGTTTCTCAGGAAAACAATAAGTTTTACAGGATTGACAGGAATGGTATTTTGATGATATTTTCGAATCTAGGACAGAAAGACTTTTCAGAGACTGTGTACTCCTCTGACTTGTGGCAATAGTGCATCCTTATGTTTTATTCTTGAAGATCTTCAGGATGCATTGCTACTACTTTCTGCCCTCTGGCCAATACTTCTGTGTGTATTGTAATTTGTATATTTCAACTCAGTCTTTTTCTGTAGTTTGAGCATGGCCTTGTATTTTGACTAAAGAATTTCATAATTTAATTTCACTTTCTTTCTCTTCTGATAATTAATTTTTGTCTGCCTATATGCCTGTGGATCCTGTATGAAAATGCTGGTTTTGTTACAGGAGGGCTCTGGGCCACCATCCAAGGCTCTGGTTTGGAAGGTGTTAGCCTGGTGTTATTTGGATCTAAGTCCTGTGACATCAACATCACCACAAGTAATTCTCAAAGAATTCAGTGCAAAGTTCCACCCAGGGTAAGTGGAATCTTCTTTTTGGCATTTCCTTTTCTTTGGGTGAACAACCATTATTTACAGAAGGTTTTCAGCTAAAACTGCTTACAATTAAATTAACTAAAAATAACTTCTCATCATAAGAGTTTGCTTATGTTATTTATATTGTCTATTTTGCTATGAAGGGGGAAAATTGATCCCACTGATAGTGTTTCTATTTAACATCTGTTAATTCTTTTAATAATAAGAGAATACAGACAGTTCTATTCTACATGTTCAGTGAATATTAGTGCCACAGAATAAATATATTTTTATGGGGTGCACATTGTGGTAGTAGTTTGCAAAATTTAAATATCCTATAACTTCTCTTCTTTCTTAAGCAAATGACAAAGAACTCAGTGTTCACCAGCAATTTTGTTTTTTGCATGGATGTGAATCCTGGAACTCAGTCTTGTAGAATACCTGATTCCTATGAAGTATCTTTCTAGTAGACTCCTCCATCTTTCTTTTCCATTGAAAGCAAGTCCCTGAGATCTGGTTTTCATTTTGGTAGTGCTCTGTCATGACCCATTAAGGGAGTTGGGGGTCTTTCCTGGTACAGTTGGTGAGTCACTCACAGCTGCAGTTGGATTTCTGTTTAGGGTTGATGGTGGGGTCAACACACCTAGCACACCCATGATCCCCAATGGTGTCTGTCTACTGAACAAAGATCTGTAGGAAGTAGGATTAAGAATATCCTTTTATCCCTGGTTCTGAAATTTTATCTTATCTAGTTCCTTGAATATTATGAAAAGTTGGCTTTTATATGTAAACTACATGCAAATTCCAGTACACTGTATTTTAATTTGTTTAACTCTTTCTTATTGTTGGGCATGTAGAAAATTTCTAGATTTTTCTCTATTATAAATAGTGAAATTTTGATCATATTAAAAAACTATAATTTTTTAGCACACTTCCCCGCCCCCCAGATAAAGTAATCTAAATTCTAAAGCTTTTGGTATCTAGTATTCCATTACTTAAAATTCCTTTTAAGTTTATATTCCCACCATCACTGTGCAAGCTTCTGATTTGGGGCATTTTGGACAACCCTGGGAATTATCTCATTAATATATTTTTAATATATATTTACCATTTGAATGAGTAGAATTTGTACTGTATGGATTTCCTTTATAAGCGTGGATACATATTAAAAAGCAAACTTCTGAGTTTGATCAAAGTCATATATACAAAGGCTCAAAGGAAAATAAGCTGTCATGTTCTCCTACCTGCTTTTCTTCCTTCTTCTAGTCCTCATTTTTGAAACAATAAATTATTTTGAATTCTAGCAACTTAACTTGTTTAATCAATATAGCATGTATACATTATAATTATTTAAATGATGCTGACAGAACCATAGAATTTTTTTTTTGTATTTTGATGTTTTTTTCCTAGAGTTCCTTTTTTTTCTTACCATAGAAATCTACTCTCTTTTTTAAAAAATATCATCATACCAGTTACTTCTTTTATTTGAAGCTTTCTTGTTTTCCTGTGTCAATTTGGGTTGGTTATTTTCTAGGTTATTCTATAGAGTTCACTCCAGTACTTTGGTTGATCACTTTTCTGGTTAGGTTTACTGTTTCTTTGAGTTTATATCTCTTCTTCTTCTTCTTTTTTCTTTTTTTGGTTATATTTATCTGTGAGATCATAAATTTAAAAAAATATGCTACAAAAGAAAATTCAGAAAGAATGAGTAATAAATAGTGTCTGAAAGCACTTGGATGCTTGATTGATAGTTTAGCTAGGTATAAATATTTATTTGAAATTGCTTTTTTTTAAAAAAAAACATTTGGTGTGTTAGTTGCCAATCATTCTTGTTTACCTTTGAGAGTAGATCCTTCTGCATATCTTTTGCACAGAAATTGCCTAATCTCTCTCTTGCTTTGAGAAAGAGAGAGAGAGAGAGAGAGAGAGGGAGAGAGAGTTAAAAGTCACAAATATACCTCTTATTGACAACTTTATTAACATTTAAAATAGAACCTTTTAAAATAGAAATCCATATGGATTTCTTTTTTTCTCAAATCAAACTGAGATTGGATTTTAAAAACCTATTTTTCAGGGAAAAGATGAATACAGTGTGAATGTGACTGTTATCAGAGAGAATCATTCTGCAGTTCTTCCCAGAGCATTTACATATATCTCCTCTTTAAATCCAATGATTGTGTCTCTGAGCAGAAATCGAAGCAACATAGCAGGTAAAATACATGACATCACAAGATATTTATATTTTTAGAGAACCTACTTATAAAAAAGAAAAGCAATGGTTTATGAATTCTGTTGTATTTTAGATGAAAGCTCCTTTTTTTCTGAAAGCCAGAAAACTATTTTCTTCATGTTAACTGTCATTGAATTAATATTTTTACACTTTTTTCCTTTAAAATTGACAATATTTCTATTCTGAAAATTATGTGAGAATTTGAAGGCACTAATTCAATAAATATTTATTGAGTACTTAGTATGTGCTAATAATAGCATAAACATGTATTAGAACTTTATTTAATCCTTACCACTAATTTGTATTAATTTTTACCACTTATTTATTCTCTAGTCTAAGAGAATAAGTGACTTGTATATTCCTTTTGTAAGGAACAAAGCTGAGATTTGAACCATAGTCATTTTTGGCAATAAGTCCTATGGTGGTAATAATTTAACACAATTTGAGAATAAGGTGTCTAGATTAACTAAGAATTCTTGTTCTTTGAGACACTATGTATGTAAAGAATGCATTTTTTTTAGTACTAACTGCATGAAACATTTTAACCTTTGATAATTCAAATGACATGACAGGTTGGAATTATAAGAATATCTTGTCATGACATAACAATATAGATTCAGAAAAGCAGCAGGTAAGATCCCTTTCTGGTTTACTGAATGTCAGATAACAGATAGTTTATGGCAGCCATGTCTAAGGGTTTATTATAAAAAGACCATAATATTTTCCAATGAAAAAGCTTGAATTCAGTTTTTCTGGTACTATTTTCATTTTCCATAACTCAAGAGTATATAAATAAAGAGAAGTGTCCTTTAACTTCTTAATATTATTCAGCTCAGATAGTGCAGAAGAAGAATTTGCTGCCTCAGGCAACCAAAGTGTGTAAAATTCCCCAGTGGTATAGATACTTCCCAAGAAAGTAGAAAAACAGGGAGGAAGCTCCATGTTATATTCAGATTTCAGTGACTTAGGCTCTTGATAGACTTTCCTACCCCTAATGAAAAGAGTAAATACATTTCATTAGTGCTTCAAAGACATTCAGGATTAGCTTGACAACTGACCACGTGATATGTGATGCAGTGCCTTCTTTTCAGAATTCACACTTGTATTTAAGTCTTCCTACAGGCATAATAGAGAAGAACATGTTACAAAATCCACAAAGTGTAGTAGCCTATTAGGAAAATCTCTTTTCATTTGGGGAACCGCCTATCTCCATTCAGGAAATGATGCTAATGATAACAATGAAGCCAAGATGAAATGGAAGAATGAGGGAAGAAGGGAGAGAAAACAGGGAGAAAGAATTTGAGGTGCAGAATGATTAGTGTGGTTATTGAAGTCAGAAACAACTTTATCTGAGTGAACACCAGCTCAACCACTTGTTAAAGAAATACTTTTGACAAGTGAATGAAGAATGATTTACAAATTTGGCAGTCCTCAGAACCAGAAGAGGTGCACAGCATTCCTCTCTGCAGGGTGGGCAGGCAGTACATATAGACAAAAAATGGAAGTGAGATAAAAAGCAGCTTGGTTTGCTATAGCTCCCCCTTTGCCATATTTGACCATGGTCACGTCATTTGATGGCCTATGATTGGCTGAACTTCAGCTGCTGTGATTGACTGAGAATTAGCTAGTTATTACAAAGGATATACTCAAAATAATTAGGCTTTCAGTTTGTTTACTATTTTGTTAGATGGCAGTTTGTCACACAGGGATTGAAAGCATGGAGGCAGACTCAGGTCAAATAGAGTTTGATTTAATACACAGCCTCAGACATTAAAGAAGAGGTTGGGAAGACATGAAGAAGTTAAGAGGATGTGCATGTGAGGAACAATATGAAGTCAATTGACATTTTTTGGGTGTGTGTTCTGCACTCTATTTGCTTCCCCAGGATATCTAAGTTAATTCTTACAACAAACAACTTGGGATGGACTTTATTACCATCTGGTTGATGAAAACTCCAAGTTGTTGAGGGTCCAGAGTGAGTCCTCCAAAGCCAAAGAGGTAGTTAAATGACAGATGAAGGATTTGAATGCAGAGTCACAGTCTTCCCATTACATCATATCCCTCTTTTTTGACCTTTTCAAGAAACCTCTTTGTCTAGTTTAGCATGGATTCTATAGATGCTGACTGTGCAGTGGTTCTTCAACGTTAAAGTCTAAAGGAGCTGCAGAGGTGATTTACCTCCAGCTGTGGGCACATTGAAACACAGGAAAGGCAGATACACTTACTTCCACCTGCTATTGTATGCTTGATTTCTGGATTTCACAAAGACTCTAGTTATCTGAAGACTGCATTTCTCTTTCCCTATAATTCTTTTTATCTTACAGACTGGAAGAATACCTTCAATATATTCCTCCTTTGATTATAAATATTTGGAGGTGTTCACAATACATTGAATTTAGTAGATATTTTTCAGGATTAGCTTTTCTATATTCACCCATAGAAGCTCATAAACTTGACCTACCTCCATAGAGTCCCTACTGATATCCACATGTGTCTTATAACCCAGAAAGTCACCCAATTCTATTTTTTTTTTTTTTTGCCCAAACCACTGGGTGACTAAGAGAAAATGCAACAGAAGACTAAATAAAATTGTGAAATTTGAAAAATTGAATTTTAAGTCCCCTATGATTTATCATTGTATCTTGGGATATATCTTTCAAATTGAACTTCAAGTGGCCTCTCGTCCTACCATAAGGCCTTTCCTGACTTCAGAATGTTGTTCTGATTTGAACAATCTCACACCTAATTATGACCTTTATTGTAGCATATCTTCTATAGATGTGATTCTGCCACATATTTTATCATTTTTGAGGTCTTCTTTGAGGGCATATCTGTATTTAACTATTTTTGTGCACCTTGTGGCATGTTTCTATAGGGCTTAATATGTATTTGAGTTATAAGGAATTGAATTAAAGTATTCATAATATACCCAACATTTTATTAAGTTAAATTAATTAATTTATTTTATTTGTTCTTTTTAGATATACACTACATTAGGGTGTATTTTGACATATTATATATACATGGAGTAAAACTTATTCTAATTAGGATCCCATTCTTGTGGTTGTACATGATGTGGAGTTTCACTGGTTGTGTATTCATATATGAACATAGGAAAATAATATCTGATTCATTGTACTGTCTTTAATATCCAGCATTTTAGTAAAGATTCTAATTATACTAAAAAGCTATGGAAATTCAATATGAAGTCTGGGCCCCAGCCTTGATGTTCCCATTTATTGTTATGAGGTTTTTGTTGCTGACCCTGTTTCTTCAAATGCCAAATGTCAGTCATGCTAACTGTCCCATATGTGTCATTAGGATAGTTAGATGATCAAATGGAATTATGTGCATGAAAGTACTGTAAACTATGAGCTGTTACACTCACATACAGCATTATGTTAAGGTTCGTTGCACACAGGAGCTAGAACTTTATATTTCTGTTGGTGGAAAAAAATTTAGAGAAAGGACAACAGGAATTTGCTAGTGGTGAAGACCATTAGCTCTTCAAACTTATTCTTGAATTGTCTTTACATGGATTAAATTCATGCTTTTTGAGTATAATTGCTCTGACAGTGTTGCTCTTCACAATTTTGAAGTTTTAGGCTGTAGCTCAATTAAAAGATTTATTAGAAATTTCATTTAAAAAGTTACGTTAAAATTCTTAATTACATTATTATGTTGAGGGCTGACCATGAAATCCTGAAAGTGTTTTGGCATAGTATAGGAGGTTGAGGTCATAAACCCTCATCAGAGAATATTTTAGTAGGCTTTTTTACTGCTGTGACTAAAAAGATCTGACCAGAACAAATTTAGAGAAGAAAAGTTTATTTAAGGGCTCACAGTTTCAGAGGTCTTAGTCCACAGAAGGCAGACTCCATTCCTTGGGGTTCGAGGTGAGGCAGAACATCATAGCAGAAAGAGTGTGGCAGAGGGAAGCAGCTCATGGTGACCAGAAAGCAGAGAGAAAGGTCTCTACTTGCCAGATACAAATATATACCCCCAAAGCCATGCTCCATTTCTCACCTCCTCCAGGCATACCATACCACTTCAATTGCCACTCAGTTAATCCCTACCAGGGGGATCAATTCACTGATGGGGTTAAGACTTCTATAACCCAATCATTTCTCCTTTGAACCTTCTTGCATTGTCTCACATGTGAGCTTCTGGAGACACCTCATATTCAAACCATAACAGAGAGGTGAACAGATTCTTCTCAACCCAGGAGGGGAGACCCTTTCCATTGGAATGACCCGGCTGCTGAACTATTCAGATTTGGATGTGGAAATACACATCCAGGATACCTTGGCTCAGGTACATGCACAGACGGCACAGGGCCTGGAGGTGGTGCTGCCCCCGCTGCCAGCCGGCCTCCACAGAATTTCAGTCTCCATCAATGGGGTCATCATTCGCTCACAAGGGTAAGGTGGAACGTTCCAGAACTGGGTTGGGATGGGAGGGGGTGGGTATCTGTAACCAAAGAAGGGAAGTCTGTGCTGTAGCTCTTTAGTAAGATTTCCTCTTGGGTTTTAAATACATGGCCTATAGTAATTGCATGGCCATGTCCTTCCCTTAGCTCCCTCTTTGTCCTGAAGTTGCTCTGCCTGGTATTTCTCTAGAAATTCCCTCTCCCATTTCTGAAAAGTAGCTGAAGTGTATGGGACTGATGTTACCACTGATACTGACCCAGCATCTTTCCATGGCATCTTTCCCCCACCATTTCCTCTCTTTTCTGTTCCAGTTATCATTCACTCTTGCTCTCCATCGCTGCTCCATTTCTTTTCTCCCTCCCCTCCAAATACAAACACCTCTTCTGCCTTCCATCTTTATTTTCTCTCTCTCTAGCCCTGTTGGTTATTTCCTAACAATATCCCTGTCTTCTGTAGGGTTGATCTGCACATCCAGTATCTCACAGAAGTTTTCGGCATGGAGCCTTGCTGTGGGTCCCTTTTCGGTGAGTGGTTCTGACATCATTGGTGTCATTTACCTGGTTTGCCTATTTACTGAATACCCAGATTTTACTCCTGGATTAATTAGCTTGTCACCCTGAGATGGGACGTCAGGAAGAGACTTTCCTGAGGCTCTGGTATAATTTAAGGGTGGGAAAACTTGGTGATGCTTCAGCTCAGTGAGCTCATGAAGTTAAAGAGTTTTCATGAAAAGGAGATATGCCTGGCTTTCTTTTCCTAGAGGAAAGGCTGAAATAGCGGATGGGCAGTACTCTTGAGCAGATATTAGGAAAACAAAAGAAGAGCTTCCTGTCTTAACATTTTAGACCCTGAGTGTTCAAGGACCCAAGGAATGAGTCGTTGTATCTGTACTTTCTTCCAGGGATGCAGATGGAGGAACAAAAATAGAGCCACATATATCAATGTGGGAAATGTAAGGACAAGAAACAGAGTGATTCCTAAAACTATGCATTTTAAGAGAAAAACTAAAGAGCTATATATTTACATGTGAATAATGGTTTTAACCTTGCATGAAGTAGCACCTTATCTTTTTGAGCACAGGAAAATCCTTTTTAAATCTGGTTGCCTATGTCACAGATTTGGTTAGGATATGGGTTTTGTTGCTCCAATCTCTGTTCTGAAGGTGGGATTTGGTCTTTGATTATCTCTCAGCTTAAGAGTAAGACAGTGTCTGTGTTTGTCACCACTGTGACTAAAATAACTAATAAGAAAAACTTAGAGAAGAGGAAGGCTTTTTTGTTTTTGTTTTTTGGCTAATGGTTTTGGAGGTCTCAGTCCATGGTCAGCTGACTCTATTGCTCTGGGCCTGAAGTGAGGCAGAACATCATGGTGGAAGGATGTAGTGGAGGAAAACTGCTCAGCTATAGCAGCTAGGGAGCAGAGAAAGATATTGAGGCACCAGGAACAAAATATAAACCCCAAAGGCACTCCCCCAGTGAACTACTTCCTGTAGTCACTCCCCACCTGTCAACAGTCACCATCCAGTATAGTAGTTTTCTCAGATTATTAATTCATGAAATGGATTAATCCACTGACTAGGCTACAGCTCTCATAATCTCACTTTACCTCTGAACATTACTTCATTACCTAACACAAGCTTTTAGGGGGGCACCTCGTATCCAACCCTTAACAATGTCTGTTTATATGACAGCAAATTCATTAGTATGTTTCACTGGCTTTTGATATCTGATATATATGTAATACAGAATATATACAACATATTAGAATATATAATACTATGTATATGAATTCTTGGAATAATATGTAGAATAATATAGATGATAAATAGAAGACTTCAACAAACTTTATTTCTCTAGTATGGAAGTTGATTGCATATAGATTATGTAGAATAATATGTCATATAATACAACAGATGACAAGGAAACTAAATTTGATTTTTTGTTAGCATGTAAGTGGTAGTTTGTAGGATATACAAAGGTACTTGAAGCGTTTTATCTGAAATATTATAAATATCCTTCATATATATATATATATATATATATATATATATATATAATTTATATTATTTTACTGTTACATGAATTTTAGTGCATCTGACTCCTGTAGAAATGATCACAAATTTAGCATTGCTGGGGATTGAGGTGAAATCACCTATGTTTCACATACCCCACTTTCCACTGAATTGCCTCAGAGCTGACACAGGGGCTCCAAGTTCCTAGTGAAAATCAGCTTTAACTTTTGTTTTCCATCTCTGCACTTCAGGTGGAACCATCCTCAGCATCTCAGGAAGAGGGTTTGGCAGGGACCCAGCTTTGGTTTGGGTACTTGTGGGCGATCAGCCCTGTGACATGGTGAACTTGACAGAGGTGAGCATCTGGTGTGAGACCCCACCGGCCCCGCTGCTGCCCGATGCAGAGGCTCTCACCATCCCAGCCCCCGTGGAGGTCTGGGCTGGCAACACAACCTTCATCCATGGACCTTCAGCAAGCTTGGTGGGGAAGGGCCTTACCTTCAGGTATGAAGTGGCAGCAACACCAGTGGTCACCGCCTTGTGGGGAGAAGTCACAAACAGTAGCCTGAAGTTGTATGTGGAAGGAAGTGACCTCTCTAACTCTGTCATCCTCCTGGGGAGCTTGAAGTGTGAGGTTGAGACACAGTCTCTTTGGGGCAACCTGAGCCTGTCTGGGTGCTCCTTTCCCCTGCACACTCTGGAAGCAGGTGTCTACCCTGTCCGAGCATGTCAGAAGCACATGGGATTTGCCAACATGTCTGCAGTGCCCCAGCAATTTGTGGTGACACCTCGGATAATGACCATCTTGCCAATGCATGGTTCTGTGTGTGGCGGGACTGTGCTCACTATCAGGGGCTTGGCTCTCAACTCTAGAAGGAGGTCGATTCAGATTGACCTTTCAGGTCCTTTTACTTGTATGATTTTGCATTTGGAAGACCGTATAGTTCTCTGCCGGATCAACCAGATGGGTGACCACTTGCCTGGAGCTTCCTTCACTCTGAATGTCACAGTCGTGGTCAATGGACTGCCCAGCGAGTGTGAAGGGAACTGCACTCTCTTCATGCAAGAGGACGAAAGTCCTGTAGTGGATGCCATGACCATAGACATCAGTGGGTCTCTGACCACTCTGCTGATAAGGGGTCAGCGGCTGGACTCCAGAACTGATGAGCCAATGGTATTTATAGATGATCAACTTCCTTGCAATATAACTTTCTTTAATGCAAGCCAGGTGGCATGCCAAATAAGTGGTTTGACCCCAGGAGTCCACTACCTATCAGCTGTCCAGACAAGTAATGGGTATGCTTGTTTGGGTAACATTTCCAGGAATTTCTCCATCATGCCTCAAGTCTTTAATTATTTCCCTAAGAATTTCAGCACACATGGTGGAAGCCTCTTGGCCATAGTGGGCACAACCCTGAGAGGACAGAACACCACATTGATCTTTGTTGGCCAACAGGCCTGTCTGATAGTGAACATCAGTTCTGAGCTCATCCAGTGCATTGTTCCTGCAGGGAATGACTCTGTTGCTCTGGAAATAGAGGTAGATGGAATTGGGTACCACATCGGAGTTGTTGGTTACAGCGATGTCTTCACCCCAGAATTGCTCTCTGTTTCTCAGAGTGATGGCATTTTAACCTTTGCAGTGGCCCGCATCTCAGGAGCTGCCAATGTTGACATATTTATTGGGAGGACACCTTGTGTGGGTGTGTCTGGTAACTACACGGTTCTCCAGTGCACCACCCCTTTTCTTCCTGCGGGGAAGTACCACGTCAGGGGTTATGACCGAATCAGAGGGTGGGCCTCCTCTGCTCTTGTGTTCCTGTTGAAGGCTACGATTACAGCAGTGACAGAGAACTTTGGTAAGTCAAGCAAGTAATATTTAATGGCTTAATAGCTTCTCTCACTTCTAAGAGTTGGAAAATCAACATCACTCCATGCAACAGAAGAGAAGAGAAGCCTGGTGACTTCTTGGAGTCTCAGTGTCTTCCTGTGACTCGTCTTTGTCATGCTCCATTTATGAACTTTATTTTTCATCAAGGAAACTGTGCCTATTCTCTAAGTATTTTATTTTAATGCATTAACCATTTTTAATTTGTGTTTTAAATTAATATCTTTTGTAAGAGCTCATAATTTCATCATTTAAGAATATAAATGCTTTCACCTAGTTTTAGACCTATATGCCAATTTGCATCATTTAAAATTTATTAACTGTGATTAATTTTGATCATTTTATAAAACTTCACAGATGAATTCAAATGCCACCAATAATAAGCCAATAGCATAGGACAATTGTATCGGTTTAGCTTTTCTCTGCTTTTATTGTTTTGTTTTGTTGTAGTGCTGGGGATCGAAGCTAGGGCCTAACACATGTGAGGCAAATGCTTTACCTCTGAGCCACACCCCTAGATCTTCTGCTTTGCCTGTACTGAGATTTGCCATTCTTTTCCTTCCGATGATGTTTTAGGTTTCTGCTCACTGAAAGCCTTGCTACACTTAAGATCACTCAGATTTGATGGTGGGTATACAGGAAATTATGGATGCAGGATCTTAGGTTGATGAGGTACTAATCAAGCCATTTTTAGAACAAATTTGTCTTCAACTGGGTGGAACACTGTGGAGATTAGAATTTAGGACTGGTGCTGTGACCAACGTAGCTAATTTAGGTTTGACTTTTCCATGCCTCAGCTTCCATTTTTAAATTTTGTAGCATTGGGGATTGAACCAAGGGGTATTCTATCCCTGAGCTTCCTCCCAGACCTTTCTTAATTTTTTTTTGTTTCAAGACAGGGTTTTGCTAAATTGCCAAGGCTGGGCTCAAACTCCCAATCCTCCTGCCTCAGCCTCCAGAATTGCTGGGATTACAGGTGTCTGCCACCACATCCAGATCAGCTTTCTTATTTAATAATGGTATTTGGGCTGGATGCTCACAAAATTTCCCTGTCTATTCCCTAAATTCCATGAAGAAAGAGCATCATAAATACACCTGAAGCAAAAACAAAACAAAACAAAAACAAACAAACAAAACCCCACATTATTCTTGAGTTTGTCAGTTGGCTGTGCAAGTAGCCCCATTCCCCTTGCAGGATGAAGGCTGGAGACTGTGTCTCAGAATGAACTAGAGTGGTGCACCAGCTTCACTATCCTGAGTGTCCCTAAAATATGTAATTCTTGCAGTACTATTAATAATAGCAAAAAGAGAAATAATGAAGGTATCAGGCCATAGAAAATTTGTTAAACAAATTGTGCCTTAATGATGTAATGAGATTCTAAGTAGCTAGTAAAATGAACTGTAATGACATAGCTTTGGAAACCTACCTATACTGTACGTTTAAGTTAAGAAACAAGTTGTAGACTATGTATAGAGTGATCCCTGTGTATCAAAAATATATGTTTGTTGAAAATTCTGTAAGGAGTCACAAAAAACTGTAAATAGAAACAGGTGTTTGGGGGGAACTTTCACTTTCATTTTATGCTCTTGTATGAAAAGTTTAAGAACTATAAATAATCATTATTTTTCGACATAAAATGGTTACATTACAAGATGCTTTATGTTGTTGAATATGGTTGGAATCTAATGGAACCCTGGAGTCCAGAAGCCGGGTGAAGAAGCTAAGGATATCAGAGTCCTCCAGCCAGCTGTGTGGATTCTGCAGGGCATAGGAAGGATAGGCAGAAAGAAAGCAATAGTTTGAGTTTTGAGTTAAGATAGTTTTTCTTCTAAGATCATGAACTTGTGGTTTGTCTTTAAAGGCTGCCTGGGTGGAAGGCTTGTACATGTGTTTGGAGCAGGGTTTTCTCCAGGGAATATCTCAGCTGCCGTGTGTGGTGCTCCTTGCCAAGTCCTGGCTAATGCTACTGTGTCTGCATTCAGCTGCTTGGTTCTGCCACTGGATGGTGAGTAAAAAAATCCCACATATATATTTTTAAAGAATGTGTTTTAAAATGATGTTCTTTGGCTTTTTAAAATATTTGTCATTGCTTCTCTACTAACCATTAATTTTTCCATGTGTTTCTGAAAATAGAATTTTTCTATTCTCTTTCAAAAATGATTGTTACACTCCGGGGCCACGTATTAAAATGGCCCATAATACCTTTTGTCATGGGAAGGGGTCAATATTAAAGGAACTTGAAAAACGTATCGCCTATGTCCTATGGAGTCACGTGACAAGGAAGAGAGTAATTCTGGGTTCTGAATATATTAGTTCCAGTGACAGCCATAGACATCAGGAAGGAAACAAGCTCTTGATCTTGTCCTGAGGTAAGGTTGCCGAAGACATCTGCTTTCTGGAGGGACCAGGACAGGGTGAAGATTATCAAGCTGAATATCTTTTGAATATCAGCTCAATTCCCGAATTCTTATTATAGTCAAAAGAACCAACATTCACAGTATTCTCTTGTTCTTCAACGTCCAAATACTTACCTGATCTCTTACTCAGCAGAAAACTATGATTTCTCTCTGTTTTGAGCTGCATTCCCATCATGTAAATTGTGGTACCAGAAGCACCGTGTTTATGGGGAGAGATTATAGAGGAAGGTGCAAAGCTGAGGGCTTCACAACACATGGTAACTACCCACTGAGCTTCAGGAGGGGATAATCAGAGGAAAGAAACTACCATTTTCATTACAGATCCTTAGTGCATTTGAGAGAACTCAAATTCAACTAGCAATTATCTCATTTACATAATCATAGATCTGGAACCTCTACACTTAAGACCTATTTATAAACATGCTTTGTGTGTAGTGTTTGGAGTTAGGTTCCTAATTTTTTGAATGTGAGATTTACAAAGTAATAAGATCACTTCATCTGAGTTTGGATAATAATTACATGATGGACAATACTATTGCAATGGCAGTTCACAGTGTCCTCCTAAATGATGAGGAAGAGGAAGAAGAGAGGAGGAGAAGAAGATAGTGGTGGTGGTGGTGGAGGGAGAAGGAGTGTTAAGGAGAATGAGAATACAAAAAAACCTTTAAAATACTAGAATTTGAGTTTCCTAGTGTCATGTACACAATGGAAGAGAAATCATTGCACAATAAGAAACCTACGATGCAATAGCAACTTTCAGATGTCATCTTTTATGTTCTTTTGTTTTTTGTTTTTTAACCCTTCTACCTCCTATAGCACAGTGTCAGTCAAGAGAATGTGGAAATGAAACTGAGACTATACACAACTAGGTTCTAAAGCTTACTTAATATTACTTCTCTTTAAAAAAATCTCTCTCATATGCATTGCTTAAACTAATAAACTTTAAAACCCCTTTGGTATTATTTCAAAACACTTAAATCTCAACTAGAAACACAAAATAAAAATCAATGAGATTTCAGGTACAGGTAAATTGTAGTACTGAGAACTCCTAGAAGAAAAATAATAAAATTATTATATTGTAAAAGATTCTTTTAAGTTTTAGAAAAGAACATCTCAAAATTCCTTGATATTTAAGTGTTTGGAAGCTGTAACTTTTAACCTTGCCACTAGGTGTCACCAAAGATTCATCTATTTTACAAGGATCATGTTTGGTGAAAAGGATCTCAACTGTTTTCCTCTTTCATTAGGAAGGAAGGAAGGAAAGAAGGGAGGGAGGAAGAAAGGAAGGGAGGAAGAAAGAGAGGGAGGGTGTTTTAAAATACTTTTAACCACATTCTCTAAAAATGAAGAGCCAGTTCCAAATTTTCCTTACTTAAGATCCAGGATAAGATATGGGGGATTCTGTGATTCTACTGGAACCCAGTGAAACCTTTTGAGTCTAGGATCATAGTTTGGTTTGTTTTTTCTGGTTAGTAGGTCTATAATGGACATCAAAAGTTAAAGGTGTGAGTGTGTGTGTGTGTGTGTGTGTGTGTGTGTATGTGTATGTGATGTGAGAGAGAAATCATTGGAAGCTACTACTAATTCTCCTGCTTTAAGATAGGATTACATATAACTGTTAACTTCTCTTTAGGATTACATTTTATTTCAAAGAGGTTTTTAGAAGTGGCTTCCCACCAGCTATCCTCACACCTGTTTCACTCTTGCTTTTCTTGGAGAAATCCATCATTCTACCTAACTAGTGCTCCCCCACTTAGCTTCTTCTCAACCTCAATCAGCTGATAGCCTTTGGAAAGCTCAGGTCACAACGGCAGCAGTTCTCAAAGTGTGTTCCATATGGCCAGCACAGCAGCAACTAGTTTTGTGTGTGTGTGGTGGGGTGGAGGCATCTTAGAAATATGAATTCTTGGGACTCACCAAGGCCAAAATTTTCCAAATAAACATTTTAGTATTTCTTTTCTGTTCTGTCTCTGAAATTTCACATGCTTGCCTAATTGAATCCCCAGACAAGGTAACTCTTCTGAGTAAGCAAGGTATAGTCATATTGGGTAACATCATGAAATGCCTGCATATCATCTGGTCCCAGATCTGTTTGTAAAAGTACACTGATGTTTTGCTGGTTTATAATTTTTTGTTACCTATGATTATCCCAATGTGTGTGTGTGGGGGGGTGGGGGTGGGTGTGTTTCTAACATAGCTGTTCACAGCTGGATTTTCCTCATATTTATATGATTTAGTTTTTCCTTCTGTAGTTTATTGCCTTACTGTTTTCATTGGGCTTTTTGTTTGTTTCTGTTAACTTCTCTAATTTACCAAGGCCACTTTGAATTCTGACTCTTGCTTTGAATTTTAATCTTTAGTTTGACTTTGCATGATAGAGTGATGTTTTACATTCCAGGTTATTGATGATGTCTCAGAATCCAAACTTTCTTAATTATTATTTTGTTTGTTCCTATGCCACAGTCCTAATGTGCTTCATTTTCATGACTGGGACAGGAGATTTAAGCATGGGTCTAAAAATAAAGTTATTTTGCTAGTTTTGTGGTCATCTATTTTTACCTTTCCCTCCAAATTATACTTCTTACCAAAGAAGAATTTTACTTTTTCACATGATGGGTTGCTAAAACATCCTGTTAGGTAAAACTAACACTTTGCATTTGTTTAAAAAGAGCAAAGATCTTTGATCTTCCCGTTTCTTGCATTTATACCTTGAATTATACCAAATGACTTTTTCATGGAAACTTTAACTTTTCCAAGAGGCATGAAAAGCTAAAGCGATTAAGGTCACAGAGCTATTTAGCGGTAGAACTTTGAGTAAAACCCATGGATTTTGATCCCCAGCCCTAGGTGCTTTCTATAATCCACCTTGCCAATTTGCATCCACTTAATCACCTATAATGAATTCATTATTTTATAGGTGTTGAGCCTGTTTTTATTTGCCTTAGGGCTTACTAACTGAGAAGTTCTCATGTTTTGTCTATCGCAAGAGAATCTTTCTGTCAGTCATTTTTGTTGCTATTATTCATTTAAAGCACATTCACAGAGAACTTCTTTGGTATCAGGTGCTTTGGAATGTAGCAGCAACTATGATAACATCTGGGTGTGATCACAGAGCTATAAACCCTCTCCTTTGGCCCTTGCTGAGGCACTATAATGAGACAGGCCAGCAGAGGCTCAAAGCCTACAGTCCTTGATGGCTGCTGTGGTACCTGCAAGGACAGGTTAGCCACGGAAGTAACAGACCAGAGATATTTTTCTTTTTCCTCTTTTTTTTTTTTTTTTTTTTAGAATTTTCAGAGTTTTTCCTAAACCACTCGTGTAGAGATTTGTTCATCTCCCAGTTAAAGATTATTGTCATTCTGACTTATTGATGCTTTTTACATGTGTCTCATGACCCAGAAAGGGATGGCCTGAGGGTCAAAAAAACTAAAACACTTGCTTTTCTTCTTAACAAAATATTGATAGTCATATGTATATGATAATCAAGAACTTCTGTTAATCAGGAAACCATGTAAAGAGAGAAGAGTCTAGCTACAAACTTAGGAAAGGTAATAGTTACCGTAAAACCTCAAGAGAATTAGTACCCAGCATACACAAATGAATAGGAAAAAGACAAATAGCCCAATAGAAAAATGGGCCAAGGTCAGGAATGGGAATTTCATAGGAGAAGAAACATTGAGTTATTACTAAATATGAAAAATTGTTCAACCTAAAAAGTAATGATGGAAATGAAAATGAAGGCCACAGTGAGATACCATTTTATACACACTTGATAAAAATTAGGAATCTGATCATTTCAAGTGCTGACAACTGTATGGATAACAGGAATTCATGGCCTGTAGGAATTCAAATGGCATACCCACTTTGGAAAACAGTGTGGCACCGTCTTGCAAAGCTGAACTTACACTTACCATTTGAACAAGATATTTTCTTTCTAGTCATTCACTCTAGAGAAAACCTTGCACATGTTTGTAGTTGCAACTATTTGGAAATACTCCCAATTCCATTGGAAAAAGAATAGGTAAACACATCTTAGCACTTTCATGAAGTGCAGTCTTTATCAACAGTGAGCCTGTATCTGCAATAGTTACATGCAGTACCATAGAGAAATCTTGGAAATTTCATACTGAATAAAAAAAGCAAGACCAAGAATATTTGGTCATGTATTACATTTTATAAAGGTCAAAAGAAAAACTCAACAACCTCTTGTTTAGGAACGCAAACCTGTTTGATAAAGCTATCTAAAAAATGCCAAGGGATTATTTCTGAGAATGAGGAGGAAAGTGAATGGACCCATGAGGGAGCAGACAGATTTAGAAGTATTAGAACTGTTTTCAATCTCATGTTGGCTGGTATATACACCCAAGGTTTTTTTTTTATGATGATGATTTATATTTTACAAAATTGTTATGTCTTCTATTTGCATAAAATACACATTTAGAGAGTAAACTGATGCTTCATTTTCCTATTGGAGGGGGGACATATGAACTTCGTTCTTAAAACAAAGAGCCTTTGGCTCTTTCTGTGAATTTGCCTAACCTCGTAGTGACTGTTCCCTGCAGAGTCCTTGGCCTTCCTGTGTGGCCTGAAGAACAAGGAGGACAGCTGTGAAGTCATCAGCCACACCTATGTGCAGTGTGATTTGACTGTATCCATGGGGATGGAGAGACTGCCGGAATTGTGGCCTTACCTCTATGCTTGTGAAGAAAGTTCCCAGTGTCTCTTTGAACCAGATCATTGGAAAAAGTCAGACTTTCCATCATTCTCTGGCTTCTTCATCAGGTAGCTACCTTCTCCTTTCCTCTCTGACCTTCCCGATGGCCAATGGACCCACGGAGTCATTGGAAAGCCCTGGCAGGGTGGACGTGGCCTGAGGGCCTGCCGCTCTCTTGGAGGGGCCATTCCATGGTGGATTCCAGCCAGCTTGCATATCAAAGCATCTCCTGTCTTTTTCAAGTGTTCAAGAGAACATCTGAAAAATCTGCCCAGTAAACAACTCACTTTGTTCTTGCTTAGATTTTAATATTTATCTTCCGATCCAAAGCAACATCTGGTGAATGCCAATGGGGAAAAAGATTAGACATTATGAAAAACAGAAGGCTTTCCCCCCTTTTCCCTTTTTCTTTTCTTTCCAAACAGATTCACAAGTATGAAAAAAAGTCATAGAGAAATCCAGCAGATTGCACACTGTTTATTCAAAAGAAGGGGGGTTACACAGAGAATTACTGTAGATCTAGGGCTTAAAAGCCATAAGCTCATAAGGATTTTTTTGAACCTAAAAAAGAAAAAAAAAATCTAACAAATGAATACCACAACCTTCCAGGTTAAATCCCTTTTCTAAACAAAAAATTTTTTTTTTTTTTTAAGTGTGACTGCGTTGGGAACTCTGGATGGCCTTAATTTCAGTCAGCAGTTCTTTTCCTATATGCAGGGTACTAACTCAGGGATGAACAATGCCCTGCATCCTTATTCCTTATCTAGATAGAGTGGTTACATCTGATAACTTAATGAAGATTAATTTTCTCATTAAGTGGCTGGGGATATGGCTCAGTTGGTAGAGTGCTTACCTCGCATGCACAAGGCCCTGGGTTCAATCCTCAGCAGCACACACACACACACACACACACACACACACACACACACACGAAATCTTATTAAAAATAAAGCTAAACAAGACCCATGGCTCTCAGTGAAGGATATAACCAGTCTGATTTTTTAATGTCTTGAGACAGTCTGTTTTATCAGGAACTTGCCACTGGAGTTTGGTGTTTAGCCATTGGAAAAGAGGAAACTCCTTGGCTGATTGCTTCCTAGAAGGATGTGGAGCATCTTGCTGAGGTGGCACAGGAAATGGGGTTTCGCGGGTTGTGCTCTGGTGAGGCTGGATCTCAGAGCTCACAAATGCTGGATACTAAGAAGTACTAGCCAGCGGTTCCTGCTCCACTGAATTCAGGATCTCTACCTGAATCTCCCCCAAAGAATTCCCTTGGATTCTTTGTGCCCTTCTTCTTCACTCTGTGCTGAGCGTGAGGCAACTGAGCCTCAGATACCATTAAAGTTAGACATTTATTATTCAATATCATTTCAAAAGTCTTGTTCAATGTTCTGGCCATTGCAACAGAAAAACTGAGTGTTTTCTTGAGTAGAATTAAATGTCCTAGGATTTAAACAATATGTTTTATATTTAGTGGTGATAGGATGGGGATCCAGTGCTGTCCTTTGTGACCAGTGGGAAGTCAATATGATCATTAGAAGATGATTTGGCAAAGCTCTAATAACACCTTGGTATTCTTCATAATCTATAGCCCAGGAATTTTATGTCTAGGATTTTGTTCTAAAAGAGTAAATAGAAGTTTTAATAGTCACAAACAGCCACATCCTTTGACGTTCCAAGTACAATAAAACATTTTTAAAAAGTTTAAATAATAAAGAATACATCCAAATGATAAGACATTAAGAAACCTATAAAAATCATGATGTAGAGTAGTTAAATAAGTAGAAAATGCTTGCAGTACATTGAGAAGTGAAAAATCACAGGTCACAAAATTGTATATCAATTTAATCCTACTGTTCCATATAATATATATGTATATGTATATACATATATATTTGTACACACTTGAGTGATTAGCAAGAAATATAGGAGAGACATATTCTAAATTGATAGTGTCCATATCTACGTAGCTGAAATACTGATCATATTAATTTTTTTCATTGAATTTTTATGTATTTTTCTAGTGAATATGTGCTGATTTAATAACTGAGAAACAATATAAGTTAAACAAGGGGTATTAAAAAAAGCATGTTTCAAATAGCTTACTTGGTTTCTGTTAGGTTTACGCTTGTGAACCCAGAAGACTATTTTCCATGGTCTTTTCAGGGAATTCACTTTCATCAAATGCTTTATCTCACGGCCAGCATTACCTTATGGCTTTATTTCATTTGTCAAAGACAGACATATAACTGGAAAAAAAATATATATATACATATACCTAGCCCATCTGTCCATCTCTCCTTCTATCATCCATCCATCATTTATCAAGTGCCTACTATATTCTAGAATACTATATTCTAGCTATTCTTCCAGGTGCCGGTGACTCACTGGTGGTGAGGCAGGAGAGTGCCTGCTCTTAAGAGTGGGGGTGGAAGACAACAAACAGTATGATCACATGTTGTGCTAAATGTCTTAATGCGGTAGAAAAAATGGGGCTGCTTTGGATAGCTTCTTCGGAGGGAGGAGTGCCTCTGAAGAAGTGTCTTTTATGCTAGTGTTATGGTTGGGATGTGAGGTATCCCCCAAAAGCTCATGTGTGAGACAATGCAAAAAGGATTAGAGGAGAAATGATTGGGTTGGGTGGCAGCCTTAACCCAATCAGTGAATAATTATCTGATGGGGTTAATTAAGTGGTAACTGAAGGCAGGTGAGGTGTGGCTGGAAGAAGTAGGGCATTGCGTGCGTGACTTTGGGGTATATTTTGTATTCAGCAAGCAGAGATCTCTCTCTTTGCTTTCTGACCGTCATGTGAGCTGCTTCCCTAGGGCACACTCTTCCGCCATGGTGTTGTGCCTCACTTTGAGCCTCAAGGAATGGAGCCAGCTGCCTATGGACTAAAACCTCTGAAACTATGAGCCCCTAAAATAAACTTTTCCTCCGCTATGAATGTGCTAGTCAGATCCTTTAGTCTCAGCAGCGAAAAAGCTGAGTAAAATACCCTTCTCTTGATCCCAAGAATAAGGGATCACTCTGTAAAGCCAGGGAGTGGGGTGGCAAATGCAAAGGAACCATTAGATCTTATGAGCTGTGAAGAGGCCAGTTGAGCAGGAGTATAGTGAGAAGGAAGGAAAGCTCCTGGGGAGCTATAGGGGCCTTTAGGCCAAAGAAAGAAGTTGGGGTACTCTCCTAAGATAATTACTTTCCAAAGTCCACAGTCAAGGCATGGCAGCCATGGCAGCGGAAGGCTTCTGACTCATGACATCCTTACTGCCATGCTGGACTCTCTGTGTTTGTGATGATAACCTCAGCTGAGCCACATGGGGTCAATGAGATTCCAGGGCCAGGGGAGCAATTTCAGGCTATGTGGAGGAGACAGAATTTCTGCACAAGCCTTTGCTACTTATTGCAAAGGTGTATATAAGAAGATTGCCTTCTGACTTTAGGATCTGATGAGCTGAACCAAAAGGGCAATACATTGGGAGTCAGGAAACTTAGGTTCTAGAACCATCTTTGTCACTATATGAACCCAAAATATTTACTACTTCTCTTAGATATGTTTGTATATATATGCATTTGTACATTCATGTCCATCTTTATCTAAACCTGTATCCATGTCTGTATCTCTACATCTATTTGTACCTATATACATTTTTTTTTCTATTTAAATCTGTCCAATTCATAACATTATTTGGGAGGAAAACATAGCTATTAAGAACATTTGAAATTTTGTAAATGCTCATCTATTTTTGATATACTGGTGTCTCAGCTAATTTGGGTAATGGCTTTTAAAAGAAAAAAAAAACAATCTTCAGCGAGGTAATCAGGGACAAATAAAACAGTCTAACAGAAAGGGACTGAACTCTCATCAGAGCAGGAAACATGTGATCAGGGAAGACTGCATGTTGCTGACAGGTATGCACAAGGTGGGCAGTGTGACCTGGCCCACTTGACTCATTCCTTTGCCAGTGGAGCCCTGTAACGGGGAAAGGTGATGGGCAAATAGTCTCCAAACTAGAAAAGAAAAATGGGAGAATTCTGGAAATTCAGACAACTAAGGCTGACATTAGTCCTGACACAATTCTATGAGGAGTGTTTAATCAGATGGTTCATGAGCCTTCAGAAGTAAAAGAGGTTGTCTGGGAACCAATTCACAAAGAGTATGTTGGTGTCAAAAACCAATGTCATTTCCTTTTGGATAGATCTACTTGTGACTTATGATGTATATGGAGGGCGAACTTTCCAAACTATTCTAACAACCTCTCCACCCCCATTAGCAAAAAGAGTTCTGCAAAGTCCTAAGTGGCCTGACACTAACCTTAAATTACTTTGAAGTCAGGTGTTTTAAAAGTTTATTTTGGTTTTGCCTTCTATTCTACCATATTGCCATATTTATCTAATTATTACATTGCAATTGCATTTTAATTTAGAAGTTATGTAACTTTGCTTTTCCTTTCTGAATCTTGTAGTTTGACTGATTCTACAGGAGCAAATGGTGTATTTATCCCATGGCTTCATCTACCCCTTGAATAAGCATTCAACTAAATGGGTTTTTATGTTGATTTTAGTCTCCCAATTTAAAAAATGTTGGAGTGATGTGTTTAAGTCAGTGAGGTGAAATAAAGCAATAAGGAATGTAAATTTTCATATTTATATTTCAATAACACCATCACCTCCACTACCAACAAAAATTGTAACAACAGTTGCCTTTGTTGGATGTTTACTGTGTACCATGTTCTGTGCTAATCATTTTGTGTACTTCATTTATTTTATTCCTTAGTACCTCTGTAACATAGGAACTGAGTTATTAGTAATGTCATTTTATAAATGTGAAAACCAAAGCTCACAGAGTCATGTCTTCAAGGCCATATAGATGGGATTCAAATGCAACTGACCTGTTTCCAAGCCTAACATTTACGTGCTTGGGCTTCTCCGAGAATCAACTGACAAATGCAGCATGGGGAAATTCTCTGGCAATTGCAGTCCTGGGACTTTGACTTCACTACTCTCTTCCAGCAAGCTTAAGGGGACACAAAATAAACAGTGTTAGGTGTTATAGGTGGGAGAGCTCAGATAAAGGGAGACCAGTTCCTCAGTGGTCAGCCCAAACCCTGCATTTTGTTCTGGGTGGTATAGTATTAAAATATCAATATAACCCCCAATAGGTCTAGAGGACAGTAGGTATTAAAGTCCTGTCTTGGTGGCACTGGGATGCCAATATTTTAGCATGAAGAAGAAAAGAGTAAATGGTGAGATGTGATAGTTCTGCTGCTCATTATTTCTAGCAAATTGTGGGAGAAACCATTTCAGTATTGATTTGAAAAAAGACGCTGCAGTTCAACATGATTTATAGTTTCTCAGTCAGTGACCTTTTGCCCTTTCCCCCACCCTTCCTGGATTCTGCCATCTTCACTACTGAAGTTCAATCAGCATCTGAAAATTCAAGAGTGCTGCTCCAAGGAAGCAGGACACCTGGATTCTGAATTTGGGAGCGGCATAATTTTGTGTTGACTTTATGCAAATCCCTGATCTCTTTGGGTTACATTTTCTATTCCTCCACCTAATTTACAGGCTGAAATGAGATCATACATATGAAATTGCTGAAAAGTATAAAACATCATGCATTATTATTACTAATAATCTTTGAGTTAGTTGCAACAGTGCCTAAAGCCAGGATTATTTTTGAATAAATATCACACCTGTTGGGGCTGATATCCTGCAATATCCATGCTTTCACCTCCTCTAGACTGCATATTTTCTGTAACGCTACATACACTGCTGTTTTTTATTTTAAATCTAGTCTGGCTTCTCCCCTTAAAGCAAGGGGACTTTTAAAGTGAGTGGCTGGTAGTATAACTGGCACATATATCGAATCTCCTTAGTCTGGGCTGTTAAGTAAGTTTAATTAATTTACTAAGTTAATGTTCCACTGCTAGCAACAGAGCCTCATTGCCATCAGCTGGGGAGAGGGAATTGAAAGCCTAAATGAGCTCATTTTTTCACAGTTGGAATTAGGGACCAGTTAGCCAGTTGTGTGGGTTTTCCAATTTCTCCATCTGCCCTGGGGGGATTCAGGCAATTCACTCCCCCAACACTAAGTGTGAGTAAGATCAGGAAAAGGGAAGGGGAAAAGGAAAAATTAAAAAAAAAATCTCTGTCCAACATTAGTTTCCATTTTTGGAACTGGAAGTATTGTCTGTGTTAAGTTGGGTTTGTAGAAGCTTTTACTGATGTTCCCGATAGATTGGGAAAAGAAGAAAGGCCTCAGTGAAAGATATTTACCATGTGCATTTTCATTGCAGGGTGAGCAGATAAAGGAAAAACAAATAAACAATAAAAGAATGGAAACAAAATTACAGAAATTTGCAAAATTTGACAAATGGTGGCCTGTAGTTGCCACAAGCTAATGGCTTGCAATGATTAATAAGAGTAAAAATAATTGCATTTCATTAAGATTGATGACACCCCATTTAACCTCCCCTCTCGTTTCAGCCCTAAAGTGGAAAGAGATGAAGTTCTCATCTATAATAGCTCCTGTAACATTACCATGGAAACTGAGGCAGAGATGGAGTGTGAGACGCCTAATCAGCCAATTACCGCCAAGATTACTGAGATACGGAAAAGCTGGGGCCAGAACACTCAGGTATAATCAAATCTTTTTTACAGACTGATTCAAACAGCTCAAATTAAATTTGTAATATTGTGTACATTAAAAAAACAATTTAGTCCAAATGGCAGCGATATATAATATTAAATGCTCTCAAACTTTGAGGAGCTGGTCTAATGCACAACATCTGAATTCATAGTTAACTATGGTTAATCATATATTTTCTCAAAAATAAATGAATGCTGCCTGGGCTCTTTTAAAGCAAATTCTGAACAGATAATCTCCCAGCATTTTGTCCTGATTTCTGCATGCATATTTCTTCATAAAATAAATGGCCTAACATTTAACCAGGCCCTTCTGGAAGGCTTCCAAGTCACTCAGCCCTCCTCAGTGTGGTGGGACAGCGAGTTCCTGGTCCGTCCTGTTTCTGTCTGTTCCGTGGGGGAGCAGTGTGCAAATGTCCACCTTGGTGGGGATTGTGTGGAAGGATTGCAGGGCCGCTGGCCCAGCATCTCTACCTCAATGCATTTGTTTTGAAATCACTCACACCACTCCCTTCAAGTGGCTGTTCTAAGAATGTGTCTTTAAGTCCCCAGTGAAAGATTCACAGCCTCCCCAAGGAATTTGCGAGAATTGAAATCAGAGGCTAAGAGCTCTTTGGAAATGGATCAGATAATCTTTTACAACTCCCCAGGCTTCTCACTGTACACAGACAAAAAATAATATTTATTGAGCACTTTCTCCCCCAGGTGCCTTTCTCTTTATGAAAGCAGTTTTTAGATTTTTCCTCTCTCTCTTATTTGGAACAAACGTTTATTAAGTGCCTATTATGTGCCACACACTGTTCCAGATTCACTCAAGAGTGCTGTTTGAGTCAAACTGTCCAAATCCAAAACTATACTTCCTGGTTCATAGTGTATGTTTTTGTCTAACTTTTGCACAGGTGCTGACAAGGTATGTAATTGCAAATATTTTTTTTCCTGTCCTTCCTAAACTGCTCTCTGTAGTCCTTTCCACCACTCTGGGGGGCTTCTCTGTTTCTTCCATCACTTCCTAACCTTCTCCCTCCCTTTACCCTCCTTTCAGTGATTGTCCAAGGCTGTCACTTCCTGTTTCTTTGTGTCCCCCTCAAATGCCCCTTCCTTTCAATTCACTGTTGATGTGAATTCCTCATTTCCAGAACCACTGTCTTCCCATTGCAGCCTCACCTTCACTCTGTGCCTCTTTCTTAGCAGACAGCTCTAACTGACATTTCAAAGTGAGATGGAACTGCTGTGGGACAGTGAGCAACTGTTAATCCTCTCTGGGCTTCAGTTCCTGTCTGGATAGACAATCGCTTAGTGTTGTTGGGATGCTCATGTAAGCAAATGCTGGTAAAAGGAAGGGAGAGACAGGTTAGCACAGTGGTTAAATCTGTGAGCTTCAGAACTAGAACATTCAGGTTTGAATACATCACTTTCTACCTGGGGGACTTTAGGCAAGTTACTAACTGCTTCTGTGCCTCCATTTCTCATCTGTAAAGTAGATAGCAATAATAGTCACCTAATAGGGTTGTTCTGAGACTCACACATAGTGAATGTCCAGTATTAGCTATTGTTAGCAATGCTAGTTTACTAATAGTCATGCCAGAAAAATGATAGAGAGTTGCTTCTCTATAATTCTTGCTACCTGGGCCAATCATTTAACTTCTAAGATCTTATTTAACTTTTCATTATCTCAAAGTTGAATTTAGAGACTTTTTGAAGGTTACATGCCTCACTTGTTTTAAAATATTTATGCAACACATAGGTATTGAGGTTTTTTAATATTTTTAGTTGTAGATGGACACAATAACTTAATTTTATTTATTTACTTATTTATTTTTATGGTGCTGAGAATTGAACCCAGTGCCTCACACATGGTAGGCAAGCGTCCTACAACTGAGCCACAACCCCATCCCTATCTACTGAGTTTTAACCATGTTCAAGAGCCTCTGCCATGCTCTGAAGCAAACAAGAAAGTAAGACAGAAAGATGCTCCTATTATTAAGGGATATTAGGAAGTGAGGGCACACATGGAAGTAGGTGAGGTTTGAAAGACAGTATCTAAAGTCAGTTTACCACAGTAGGATGAAGCATTGGGCACCATCCAGACCAGCCGTCTCATTTTAAAGATGAATTAAGATTTAAAAGAGACCTTGGTAAAGGTCACATAGCTCATTATTTGGCATCATAACCCACGCAGCCATAAGTCATTGTGGTGAAGTGAGCCATTTAATCTTCAGGAACCGATGGTGGGGAGGAGCATATTTGTCAGAACCTACTAGACTAGAGCCTGTGTGGGAAACTTCAGAGGGGCAAAGAGGAGGTAGGTGCCACTGCGAGGTAGGTGCCACTGCTGTAGCTTCAAGACATGATAAGCATTGCACTCAAGTGTGATGATAATGTCACACTCTTAAACACTCTTTTGGGAGCAGAGTCCTATCAAGTAGTACGAGGGGAGCAATAGCAGGGATTTACAGCAAAATCATCAGAGTTTAAGACCTACTTTAGCACCAGTGGAGTCCTCAAGAATGCAACTAAGGTCTCAAGCACAATTCCTATCATGCTGACTGGATCAACACCGTGGAGTTGGGAAACAACTATAGCTAACTGTGCCCGTAATTGTCCAGGGCCCAGAAAACAAAAGGCAATAGAGAAATTATTCATTCTAGATTCTGCTCTCTGGTAGGATAGTTTAGTTTGCTTCAGGATTGGAATATAATGAAACCTATAAATAGAGGGTTTATAACTAACTGAACACAAAATTGACTTATCACCCAAACCAGAATGCCTTTGAGAGTGCAAGGCCGATAATTAATAATTGTGTTGGGATAATATGGCACTCTTGTTGGGGTATGTGGAAACACTACTGGGCCTGGGAACAACTCATCACTATGCAATACATGGTTACTCTATCTCTGAATGTCTGATTTTCCTGCTTTGGCTTGGGAACAACATGCCACCTTTGCTAGAATGCTTGGTTGCCTTATCTTGGCTTAGACCTGGGGAAGACCACAACTGGCAGATGATTAATGAGGTCTATAACCCAGGTTCCCACTTCCAAGTTCAAGGATTTCCTATGTGAGAATATGGGGACATTAATAGAATAGATACTTAAGCAATAAAAGGGTTCCAAAAACAAATACATTTGGAAAGTTGGGTGTAAAATATTTGTGTGCGTGTGTGTGTGTGTGTTTATTTATTTTCCCACTAAAGGACTTTTTTTTAGAGCATTCAATATGTGAATATATAATGTGATTTCTATAGAAAGCTATAGTGTAGAATGTCGCCCAGACTTACCTACGTCCAGATTTCCTCTGGGGCCGTTACCTCTCCCACTGCCTTCAGTTTGGCAGGTGCCTGTGCCATGATTTTTCCCTGTTGGAGTGAGGGCTCTGTTCCATTATCTTCAGGTGGGTCAGTCCCGTGAGCTCTATTGAAGTATTATATTATGATGTGCAGTGCAGGTAAGTTTCAGGGAAGCAGAAGAGGAATCAGGGCAGAAGGTACTAAAACTCTAGGACAGTGTGAGGTGCATGGTGCACGTGTAGGGAACTCGTGAGTTGCACGTAATTTTCCAGGGCCCAGAAAAACACACACACAGGGCAGAGTGGTGATGGGAAGTGTTACTGAAATCTGGAGATGAATGAAAGGTCTGCTTTCTCTTTAAAGAGAAATTGGCCTGCTCATCCCCCTAAATTCTATCCTCCACCCCACTCCAAAATCCTGGCAAGTCAAATTCTACTCCTCCCAGGAAGGAGATCAGATATTACTCTAGAGAGATTAAACCAGAATAACTGCTCACAGATGCTGGCATTTGAAAGCTTCCTGAAGTCCTACTTAGATTGGTCATCTACTTAGATTTTTAGTGCGTTGCTATGACATTTGAATGGACAGATTTCTGGTTTGGGCTAGGAGAGTGTAATAATTTTCAGGCTTACTCACATGCATTCACAACTAGAAAACTAGTCAAAGTGTATTTCAGATGTTGCATAACTGACAGCACAAAGCTGAGATCCTTGGAGAATGGAAATACACAAGGACAATGACTTTCTACCTGTGAGCATTATTCAAAACCCAGCACAGGGAAATAGAATCCAGACAGAGTGAAACAGTCTCATTGGAGGGATCATTCAGAGATTGGAGTCCAGGCTGGCTGATGTTGGTGGGATTTGCAGGGCAGGTTGATAGAGAGGAGGGAGGTCTGCAGAATAGGAGCTCTAGAAATCTGCATGAGAGTCCTTTGAGACTTTGGCCCAATATTTAAACAATCATAGTGAGTGCAATTCTGCGATGTCTAGCAGTGAATAGCTACCAAGATGCTTGAAGTGAATAAAAATTTTAAAGTACTTGATAATATAGTACTTGGGAAAGTTCAAGTGATGATCAATTAGGGTGCGGAGACCTCATTCAACATCACAGCATTGAGTTGAGACCACAGAAAGGCCATATTTTCAGTGGCAAGGAAATACAGACAACTGAGCTAGATCACAAATAGGATAGGAAAGGAAGGATGCAGGTAGGTATTATGGTCAGGCAGCAGCTTCCTCATGCCCAAGCTTGCTATCATTGGTGGTGGAGAGAGTTTTCTTGAGTTAAAAATATTTTGAATAAAGCTGTGGTCTTTTAGTGTGTTATTGATTGGACAAGATCAAGTCTCCATGGGTCACTTGTCCATTCTTCTGGTGACTACAGAATAGCTGTTAGACAGCTATAATGTTTGGCTGGTTAAATCACCATCATTTTTTTAAAAGTATTTATGTTTCAAAATTCATTTGTGTTCTTTAATGCTTTTTTCTCTCTGGAAGATTTTTATTTCCTTAAAATTGAAGAATTTTTCTCTTATGAAATTCCTTAGTACTTTATCATATTCATCTTGTGGAATTTGTCTTCTTATATGTTTAAAATGCATTTATTCATTTAACTATCTTACCTGCCAACTAGACACTAGTCTGAGGTTGAGGTTCATGTAGAATTCTTCCTTGATCTCTCTTTGGTAAATGAATGGATGAAGAC